TTCGTGATCCTGGAGGCCAAATGAAGACGATTTAAGTGTTTTTCTTTTCTCAAATACAAAAAAAAGCGCTTCAGTTTTCCTTTAACTAGTTTTCCCCCCATATACATACCGAGTGGTTTTTTTTTTTTCAAACAGATAATATTCAGTACGAAAAGGACACTGGAAATAAAGTAATTATTCCTACAGAATAAGATTATCAACCGTGGTAGATGTCGGGGCACGAGGATAAAAAAAATTTAATGGCTTAATTAACTAAAAAATTTTAACTTCTTTAATATTTTTTTAGCTGGTATATGTTACTTGGAGATTTTTAGCCCATTGTTCATATAGGCCAAATGCGTTGTTAGATGAAAAAAAACAAAAAAAAAACCTATTCTTCGATTTATGACGTGGCAAATTTCGACAGCTGCGGCAGTGCGAAAGTGAGACTAAAACGGCAGAGCACAAAACGCCCTCAAAAAACACCGCCCCAAAGTCAGAACAGTGTTTCGCACTGCTCTGCCTTCGGGGGCAGCGTTTTCTAAATCTGGAAAATGCTCCAGTTTTAGGACACTTCTTGGCCTGTGGACCAATCTCTCATCCCAGTTGTGCAACTGTGGTTTTCGCCTCTTAATTAAGGTGTTAGGTGCACTCAAACGTATGAAGAGTCTATAGGTCAAAATATAAGTATGCTGACCTTGCGATATATAGCTACATTTATTTTTTTAAATTTTTTTTTAGGCTTTCCAAACTTGTTTTAAAAACGCTATGAAAGTTACACAAATATAATTTGTGGAGGTACAGCCAGGGAGACATAATATAGGTGGCTAATCATGGCACTAATCTAAATAAGAAAATAAATTTTCTTATTAATGCAAATAAACATATTGTTCTAATTATAAACTTGCCTAGCATCACCGAAAACTACTGAATCAGAAAGTTTTAGAATGTCTCGGAGCACGGGGGAAGCGCAGTAGTGTGCTAAACTTGCCATTCATGCAACGGGCACAATGCTGCGGTGCGCAAACACCAATGATAAGGGATGAAAAATCTAAAAGGGTGCATTCAGGGGTGGAAGCAAGCTTCAGCTTTTTATAGCAGGCCTGGGAGCAGCAAATATGCCTTTTTGGAGCTGATTTGAAGCAGTAAAAACTTTGGAGCAGCTCAGGAGCAAGAAAATCAAGTTTCATAGCAGAATAAGTAAATCTTGGAGCTGATCACTCAGGTCAAACTTGGGGGTATACATGGTTTGCACATGACGTCATGCAAAGAGTGCTTGGATGGCCACCGGGAAAAAGGGGAAGAAGGAGCCCCCTCTTACCAGGACCCTCTTTTGTGTCTTGCAGATTTGCCCAGACGTCGCTATTCTCCTCCCAGAAGATTATAGAAGATTAACCCGTCACTCAAAATTCCTACAAAAGCAGCTTCTCCCCCTCTCTTTCATGGTGGTCAAAAGTGTGCTATGTGACGTCAGTCACATAGCACACTTTTGAAAAGCTAGAAAAGATTTAGAAAAGCCCAAATGTGCTTTTCTAAATACAAAAAATATTACAACAAAAAAAGTCTCCATGTGATGTTCCAGAACCATTTCCAAACACAACTTTTCCTTAAATATATTCCAGCCCATAGCATAAAAAGCAAACAGCGTGATTGCAATTTATCTGAATGGCGGCTATTGATAACTGTCCTGGTAGCAGGTTGGTTCCTCTTATGGATTTACAATAGAGAAGGTATAGTGAACAAAAGCACAACTTAAGCCTCATGAAAACAAAACGTTGTGCCCATACTTGTGCACGTTACTAAGAAAAAGTAAGAAATTACATTTACAATTACCCATGGCTAAATGTAACAAGTTACAGGTACAATTACACTTACATTAAAGTAAGTGACCATACTTCATACATAATCCGTTACTTTTGCGGCGATACTTTCAACCTTACTGTCCAAGGGTACGAAACAAGATACAAATGTTATGCAACCGTTTATTGTTGCCGCAGCTCACACTTTTGTGACCTTGAGCAACATCTGGCTCTCAAAGTCTCATCGGACATCTTGCCTCGTTTCTATGTGAAGACGTCGTATGCTGCACTAAACACCCTTTCAATCCAGCTTTTTCTAAATAGGTGCTGCCACCTGGACGCGCAACTGAGTGGCTAGAAGATGACGCGTTCGCAAAGCCTCCCCTACCCACTAGACACCCAAAACGTCAGCTAGATCCTGTTGGCCCACTGGGATGCTGTGTCCTAACTATGGCTTCACCAAACTTCGCTTTTCTCCCCAGTGTAGATTATCTTGGTCCCTGAAGTTGATACAAAAAAGTCATCACCTCTCTCTCTCTCGGACAAAAGGAAGCAAAGAGTAAAGAGGCAAAAAGAAAAGGCGCGCAAAGATCCGCTACACCAGCTCGCGTGCACTTTGACGTTGTTGTTGTTTCTTTTTTTTGTTGGAAGGAAACATTTTGGAACTCGGTAGTTGGCCTAATATTGTTCGTACGGAGAGTCCGGTTCTTTGTATCAATGCGCTTCCCACCTCGTTGTGGGCGAGCAAGCTGACAAGTTACAACACGCAAACAACCAATCCCCCCCCAAAAAAAAAAAAAAAGATTTGAGTTGAGGTTTTCGGTGATGTGAAAAAAGGCTTTCAGCATGTAAAGAATGCCAGGCCTTGCGCTTTGTAAATGCAGGTGACAATGTGATTCCAACAAAACTCACCCTTACAGAAAAAAAAAAAAAAATTACAATTTTTTTGGGGTAATATTTAAAGTTCCCGCATTTTTCCTCCGCGAATGAAAACAAAGATGTAATGGATTACAATCATTCCCTGACATAAAAAAAAAGTAAAGAAATTACTTTACAATTACTTTCTGAAATATGTAATTATTCCCTTACAAAATTATGGATAAATAGATTACAAGTAATTTCGTTACTTGTAACAGTTTACGTACCAGTCTGGTTGTGCTTATTGACCCAAATCAGAAGTCCCTTAAGTTAGAAAGAAAACCCTTCGAGATGCAATAGCATGGTATGAAATAAAGCCCAATACTAACCCGTTTTCATTATTAGGATATACAAATGTTCCAAGTCCCTGTTTAGCAAACAAGAAAGTATTCCAATATTTAAGTTAACAGAGCACAAATCTACTCTATCTGGTAAAAATACAAATGCAAAATATTGAAAACCTCATATTCCTGCTCATACAGACGCACTTAACTAACACTTATAGAACAAACATGACTGACTAGAATTAAAAAAAGCAGCTTGTTTAGGGGTTTGATGGAAAAAAAAAAGTGTGACAAAACTAGCAAGTAGGACCATAAAACGGAAGGTTATCCTCACAAGTCGATTGCTTGGATGCCGATAATATTCCCTGGAGAAGGGGACGAAGGGGGACAAAGGACAAACACAAATCAAATCTGCATTCTAGCCCAACGGTTTAGAGTTTGCACCACTCAGCAGGGCATTCCCACGGTCCTTGTCCTCCGACCAGCTTGCTGTTTGTGTGCCAGTGCATGTATTTGCCACATACATCATTTACAGGAAAGTTCGTAGATGAGGTAACCAATTATCACTTCATTCCTACGTTTACAACACAACTGAGGGGTGCGGAAGCCAAATGTTTGTTTCATTTTGTAGAGTAGTTATCGCTTTCCCCAGAGATTAAATGATAGGTGAACAGATGGCTCTTAGGTACGTTTAAGACCATAAAGCCCTTAAAGAATGACCACCCAAAATGAAAAGATAAATGCTTTGTGCGTGTGTGTGTGTGTGGGGGGGGAGGGGGACTACAAGTTAAGTTAAACGGGAAATCTTCAACTTCAAAGTTTCCTACTGTTTCCCTCACCACAGTCAGGTTTTAAACATTATGATTAACTATCAGCAGCTCGCCTGCAAACTCTCTCTCTGTTCATTACTGATACCACAAATCATAGACACGGCGAATTCGTGTTCCACGGTGCGATAAGCATGCGAGGATTCACTATGGACTCCCCTCTTGGGTACGGCAGCAGAATGCGGACGCATGCACATTCGCGCTTCACAGTGTGATGTACACGTAAGAACCCGCTACAAACTCTGATGTAACTGGAAAACAATGCAGGAACGAGTTATGATATTGCATGTCACGGGAACGGATAACCCGCAGACTGCGGACGCTGCAGATTCGCGTATCACGGGGCGATAAGCACGAGGGATCCCGCGGTGAACACGCTTGTCACGTACCAATACCACAGATCACGCAGTCGATGCGATTCACAAAACGGGACAGGTGATTTCTCGGGGGCAGGCCTTCATACGAGACTTTATGGTATATGCGAGTTAACGCGAGTGGTATTTCAAATACAAGTGGCCATGCTCAACGCCACTACTAAGCGAAAAAAAATAATTAAAAAATTAAATGACGAACTGATGCCTCAGCACTTCTGACAAAGCCACCTATGCATGCCCTCGGAGATCAGACACCTACATGCCATTGACATGACCACATCGGTATGGTGGTTCCATAACATTGGTTCATAATTATCTAAACGAACACAACACGGTAAACCACTGTCGCCATAAATACTCCAATATAGCTAAAAAAAAACAAAAACAATAAGAACTTTCCCGGCTAGTTGTGGCTGCGCTTGGGAGCAGAATAGTGCAGCAAAAGTGGATTGGCGCACAAAGGCGCAATCGGCACAGCGCTTCCACCCATTGCACAAGCAATGAATGTAGCGCAACCCCGCGCTGCCCTCTGCGCTCAGTCTTTCTAAAATTTACCAATTTAGTGGTTAATTGGAATCACAAGTTTATCTTAATTACATGAAAAAGTTCATGAACAAACTTTAGTTAGTTAATCAAATTATCATGACAATTATCCCACTATATTATTTCCCCCGGGCTGTATAATGCACCTGCACAGACTGCGTTAGTGCAGCTTTCCCACCTTTTTAAAAAAACAGTCTGTAAAGACTAAAAAAGAACACCCCGTAAAAACATTGCAGAGGGAGAGGTTGCAGAAATATAGAACAAGTTAGAACACACCTTGACCCTCCTGGATGCTCTCAATATGCTCTTGCCAAGCGGAGCACTCTTCTCGCCCGCCTTAGTTGGCGTGCCTGGAAGGCTGCTGCACTCCCCATGCTTCTTTTTCAGAAACCGCCATGCAGCTGGGAAGATGTACCTCTTGCCTGTAGCATCCTTAGCCGGCTTCTTATCCGGACTCTGGCGACAAAGGGAACAAGTTGTGTAGTTGGTGCCATCACGAGAATAAATAAAACAGCACAAAAAAACAGGACGCGGGGACAAGTGGAAGACAAGCACATACACAGTGCTGACTCTCAACTGTTGCCTTTTTCCAAAAACGAAATACAGGATGTCTCCCCAAAAAATTTTCGGCGCTTTTTTTCACAAAAAAAAAAAAAGAACTATGCATAGCAAAACGCTCATTCTCCGCTCAAATGCAGTGCTAGCGGTCTGAACCAGATGCCAAAGTTTTAGAGCTAACCGTTATTTTGTTTAAAAGTTTTAAGTGATTTTCCGAAAATTTCTAAGGGAAAACAGGGCCAGTTTTCGGTAGCTGGTGCCATTCAGCTCCACGCATTCGACAGCTCCGTCCGCTGCCATTTTCTCATTGAATGGAAAATGGTGTTGATCCGTACGAAAAGACCCGAGGGGGATTCTGACTAGCAGCAGTGTGGCCGGTTAGTTACCTGGATTGCATCCATGCTGGGCCTGCGCGTAACATCTGCAGATTTGGCAAACCGTACGCTGCCACTCTGTAAAAATAATTTGTCAAGCGCTTGGTTATCAGTGTGCTGGGTCGCTTTGAGGGGACCACCCAACTCAAACTCAAAAGTTTCTAACCACATATGGCGTTACTCCAGCAGACTTGCTGCGTCCGTGCTTTCTTCTGACCTTGGAGACGGGGGTGCCACCAGCATTCTCTTTGAAAATCTGAGTCAAGACACGGGCAACTACAGTAGGCTCATGATAATTCAAACTCAGATATTTTATACTTCTGGTTAATTCAAACAAATTTCAGAATTTTGGCTGTCCTGCTACGTTTTTAATGTATTCATGAGCCGGTTGATTCCAACGGCGTTTTCGTGTAATTTATACCTTTGTTCTCGCGGATTCGTTGAGTGCGCTTCTTTCCGAGCACCAGTGCGCTGCAGAAAGGCAACACCCGCGAAGCTTGCTCCCGCAAGCGTTGCTTCTCCGCAGTGCATCGGTGCTCGGTGAGAAGCGCACTCAACGGGGCACAAGCAGGGCACACATAAGCTATGAAAACGGGCACCACGCGGAAATTTCTAGAGCAACTTGCGCGGACGCTGCGACATGGCGGCATGGCATAGGTCCTCGTCACAGCGTCCGCGCAAGTTGCTATGAAAACTGCCGCGCGGTGATCGTTTTAATTGCTTATATGTCCACTGCTTAATAGTCCACATTAGCCAACTTCTTGGCCTGATGAACAAACTTAATTTTGTTTTGAGTTGTCATGAATGGCCTAAACAGTCCATGATAAACAACATTTTTGAGTTAAATAAACTTATGTCATACATTTCACAAATGTTGTATATGTGGCATACCTGCTTATGATCGGTAGGCCTATGTAGAGGAAATGAGCAAATATCTCCTTTGTATGTGTAGTCATTCATATGGCAAACAATAATTTTATCTTGCATCATATTTAGATGGATTTCTGATAATTCAAACAAAATTTGTGGCTTCCTGGAGTTTGAATTAATGAGTTTACTGTACATGTGTGGGGAATTCCTGGTGTGTGCATTTGCTCCCATTGGAACTAATCCTGCTTTCTACTGATGCATTGTGTTGTCAAATAAACTGGTCGCCATTACATAACCCATTCCTTTTAACTAGTCCTATCTGTTGCCCCTAAGTTTTAGACACCCTTTCCAAAATCTTATTTTATTTTCTTCTTCCTCATATTTATAACAAAAGATGCCATAGCAACTTTTGCAGGAACTCAACAGTCTTCATACTAGACAAAAATAGTACCACTGCTTTCCCGTGATTCTTGTAAAAAAAGCCTCAAGTTTAAGAGTTGAGATAATAAAAAGAAAAATAAAAAAAAGAAAATTTTTAATAGCCATGAATATTAAACTTGTGCCCAGAAAATGTCTGCCCTATCTCACGCATAGGCCTACCTGCTTGACAAATCTTTTTTTCTGCTTCGTCTCCGGCATTTCATTTACATAGTCAAAGAGTTCAGCTAGGGCCCGCTCTGTATAGGCCTTTATCGCCTCCTCTTTCGGCTTCTGCTGAACACAGAAGGTCAGAGTCGTGCAGACAGGCTGGAAAAAAACATGAACGAGAACAGCAGTCAAGTTTCTAACAGTATCGCTCAAAAACGCAATTGCACACTAAGATTTTATTTAGGCAGGATTGAAGAGAAATACAAAAATGTTCTGTTGGATTCATGCTATAGCCTTGACAAAAGATGTATAGTAAATAAGTACAGCCTGCTTACAACGAACCCGGAAATAATGAATAGCGGATATAACGAAAGAATTTTGATTTCCCACTCCCATTTGTATGTCTGCAGTGTGATTCGAGTCCACTTTTAGCGAAAAAATCTCGGAAGGCCTGTGCTAATACAACAAACAAAAATTCACAGAAATTTTTCAAATTTAATGTAAAAAGTATCACAAAATTTAAGTTGAGCTAAAATAAACAATATATAAAAAGTTTACGCAGCGCACGTGAACTGTGCGCTGCATGGACAGCAGCGCACAGTCCACACGCTGCTGACCAACAGCACGTGGACTTTGCGTCTTGAGAGCGCACACCTCAGAGAAGTTTGCGCTGCTCGCCTAATCACCCCTCGCAGAAACGAGATGCTTCTCCGCAAGACACAAGATGTGGGCAGCGTGGAAAAACCTAGAAAAACCCGTTCGCTATCACACTACCGTGCCAAACACCGCCGTGTTCCAGTTTCTTGCGTGGTTCTGGTTCACTCTCCTCCTGATTTCCGTTTGGATAGCATACTCCTGCTGCTTCTTTGTTGGCCCGCTCCTTGTGATCCAGACTGCCTTCCTTATTTCCCTTTGACTACGGACCCTACACCAACCGCTTCTCCCTCGACAAAGACTATGATCTTGATTAAATGCACCTAATCGCAACTGACTGGACCACCCATGGATCTACTTGATCATGTCAAGCACCGGCATTTCCACCCTGAAAAGAAAGGTTCTGTCCCTAAAGGTGAAACGGGAGATTCTTGAGGAAGTTCGGAGCAATGTCAAAAAGTCGGAGATCGCCCACAAATATGAAATAGCTCCGTCAACGCTGTTGACCATCATCACGAACGGGGACAAGATTGACGCAGCCCTTAACGACGATGCTGGCAGCGTAAACCAGAAGAAGCTCCAGAAGCCTTTGTACAATGATGTGGAAGAGGCGCTGTACAGGTGGTTTGTCGACGCCCGCACAAAGGCAGTTCCAATAAGCAGTCAGGTCCTTCCGGAAAAGGCTCGGAACTTGGGGTTTGTGTTGAAGCACGATAACTTCGAGCCTGGAAGCGGCTAGCTTCAAGGCTTCAAGGATCATCACAGTATCACTTGCAAACACATCGTCGGCGAGGCCGCCTCCGTTGACGACACGTTGCTCCGGGCTTGGCTCGACAAGCACCTTGATCGGATCTTTGCCATTTACACTGATCTTGACATCTACAATGCGGATGAGACTGGCCTCTTTTATCAACTTCTGCCTGCCAAGACACTGGAGTCCAAGGATGACAAGTGCGTCGGAGCCAAGACAAACAAGGAGCACGTCGCACTCCTAGTTTGTGCTAACATGGACGGCACTGACAAGCGAGAGGTGCTGCTGTTTGGGAAGTCCCACAAACCATGGGGCTTTGCGACCATCAAGTCTCTTCCTGTGACGTACGTCCAGAAAGGCAAAGCGTGGATGACGGGGGACTGCTTCCGCAAGTGGCTCGCTGATTTTGATGCAGACATGGCTTCGCAAAATCGGAAGGTGCTGTTGCTATTGGATAACTGAAGTGCCCACCAGATAAACCCACTGCTCAGCGCCATGGAGGTGCTCTTTCTGCCTCCAAACACCACGGCAAAACTTCAGCCAATGAACCAGTGAGCCGAAGCAAACCTGAAGGTGCACTAACGTCGCCGAGTGATTGAGCGTCTGTTATTGACATTTGCACCGCGGTGCCACCCAAGGAACGCAAGGTTCCGTTGGCCAGAGCAGTGTTTATGGCCAGCAGATTGTGGAGATGTGAAGCCCAAAACCGTCGCCCACTGCTTCAAGAGCGATGGCTTTTCCCGAATGAGGGTTTTGGAGGCTCCTGCTGCCAGCGACGACGGAGTACCTGCCGTCAACAGATCTGCGCACCGCTGGAGCAGATGTGGGAGAGCCTGGCACAGGTCCAGCTCGTCACGTCTGGCATTAACCTCGTCGAGTTCGTCACGACATAGGACAATATCATCGCCACAGAGGAGATGACGGATGAAGACCTTGCGAACTGTGGCCTCGTTGTGGATCTGCAAGCCAACGAGAGCGACAGCGACAACGACTGCCATGCAAAACTGTTGGTGTCCACCAGAATGACGATCACGGCGGTTGATATGTTCCGGTTGTACTTCATTGGTGCCGGGCTTGGACAGAACATTTTCGCGCAATTGGACACATTAGAGGCAGCAATTGTGAGCAAGTCTGTGAATCGTGGTGTGCAGTCGTGTACCAACAGCTTCTTCGGTAAGCAGTAAACCCTTGCTCTAAAACATTGTTTTTTATCCAGATATAACGAAAAACAGGTAGAACGAAATGATTTCCGGTTCCCGATGTGTCCGTTATAAGCAGGCTATTCTTATACGAATATATAGCAAAAAACAGTTGCGGTAGCCATGATAACACAGTAAAAAGTATTTTATTTTGCAAACATACTTAACTGTAAAAAGGCACTCCTGTATAGAAAGAACATGAAAGGTCTAATTTATAGCTGCTGGCTGACACAAAACTGCCTTCAGCTGAAATTATTTCATAACGTCCATACCAGTGGCGTAGCCAGGAATTTTATTTGGGGGGGAGGGGCTGAGGTGGTCGAGATGTCCGTGACTTGGGGTGCGGAGGGGGCGTCAAAATGCATGTATATATTGCAGGGTCAGTTGGATATGGGGGAGAGGGGGGGGGTTTGAAGCCCCATAAGCCTGTTCCCTGGCTATGGCACTGGTATATACTATTATATTCAAGCCAGTACAAATAAGGAGAGGTTGTTTCAGTACAGTTCGAGGAACCAAATGCTACCCATTCCGTCTCAGCAGTCGACAATCACTTTTTCAGTGTTCCACGAGAAACTGGAACATATGACAGCTGTGACTTTCCCATGTCCACATGTCCCCAATGCATCTGAACCTTCAATCTTTATTTAAACTTTTGATACTCGTGAAAAACCTTTATACATATAGACGCTTTACTATGCCCACACATACCTCAATGTCACCATCCTCTGAGTTGCTTTTAGGCACCTCCTGACGTGACTTGATGCAATTTATCACGTCTTTCACAAGCTCAGACGGATAGTTGAGCAGGGCATGTGCATTCTCAATCAAAAAGGTCAAAGGCTTAGTCAACTCAGCAGATTTTTCCTGTATTTCTTCAGGACTCATCTGAAAGTTTCAAGCATAAATTAAACAATGATTTAATGAAAGGAGTAGAGCAACTGCATTGGGAAACATTCTGGTATGCTTCTCCTGCATCATACTAAACAAGTGCTTAAGAATTTAAAAAAAACAAAAACAGTAAATTATATTACAAGAACAACGGGGCAAAAGTCTGTAGGTTTTCGTTTTGAGCATGCAAGATGAAATTGTTGCGACGTCATGTCGAGACTCCTCAAATTTCAGTTCCACATTCCTACCACACGCAGCAAAGGAAGGTGAGTAGTTTAACAAAAATAAAATCTTCACAGTATTAGTTTCAGTTTTGGCAGGCAAGGTTTGGAAGGATTAAAAAAAGTAAATAGTAAAGCATGTAAAATCCACAAATAAATTGTAACATTTATTTCCCAGCACATGTTTCCTGGTGCAAATGTTAAAGAAATTAAAATTTGGTTGCAGCCACCCTCTAAACTTGGTTCAGCGCAGGCAAACACACATTTTTTCGTTCGGAAGACGGAGGTGACGGGCCAACCCTCATGAGAAAACAACTGCAAACCTGCCAAGTACGGAAAAACTAAATCCGGGAAAATTTCTAAGTAAGGGGGGGGGGGGGGGGGGGGGTCTTTTGGAAAGAAATATTGACAACAAATTTGGATGAACACAACTTGATTACATTTATATTGCACTGCTCATGCTGGCGAGATATAGCTGGGCCTCGCTCTGTTGCGACGGCAAAAACTCCTTGTTTAAAGGGATACTAAACCAAACTTTCGAACTCACAAAACAAGGCTGTACTGATAGGTGGGATGCTGCAAAACACAAAAACATCACTCATACAGCGATATCTCTAACGGATCACTATATTTTTGGAAAAGAAGTGCGCGATTGAACACGGCCAATGAGGCAAGTCAAGTCATGATTCTCCATTCCCTCTCATCCTCGCTTCGTCCCCTTGAGCTGGTGAACCGAAGTGAAAAGGAGAGAAACGAGGCCGCTTCCTCTCATTCTCAACTGTTCCAAAAGGATTGTGATGTCATAGCTCTCGCTTGATCGTGCCCTTTTTTTCCAAAAGTATGGCCATCCGTTTGAGATATCGATGTATGAGTGATGTTTTAGTTAGTAGCGTCCTGTTCAACGCTTCTGCAGCCTTATTTTGCGAAATCCAAATTTCGGTTCAGCATCTCTTTAAGTGCGGGAGGAGGGGAGGGGTGTAATTTCCGTTTTCCAGGAGATTTTTCTGCTAATGTGTTAACTGTACAAACCGGTGAAAATTCGGGAGTCTCCCGGGTAATACGGGGGACTTGGCAGGTATGCAACTGAATTTTGTTCCAAGTTGCCTGCCACTTCATCTTGGTGCTTCATCCCAAAGATCTGTGTTTGCCTGTACTTAATTGAGGTGTAAGCTGCTCACTGGAAAGCCTGCAATAGTTCCAACTCAGAGTGGAATAGAAAAAATGCATTGTTACCTCGCGAGGGCAGAGGATCACAGGAGTGAACAGCAGAGCCAGGCTCTCGGAAGTCATGCGGTTCAATTCGCGTGCGCTTGACACTTGGTGTAAAAATACCAGAAGTTCCGATGCTAGGCTGTAGTTGAGGGGTGGGAGCAACAACAGCAGTAGCTGTGCTGCTTTCAACTGCCTTTTCAAGCACTCTATCCGCACAGATGGCAGTGCCCTTGGTCGACACAGTCCTGCGAGTGGGATTATATGTATGATGTATGTAGTGGCTTAAAGAGACACTGAAACCCCCCCAAAATGTTTTAAAAATTTATTGCCAGGCAATTTATTATGATGTCAGAAGGCTACCCAATCAATATTTTGCTACAGTGTAACATATACTTTAATAACGTCAAAGTATGCAACTGCTCGAAACCGAAACTGGACAGGGGAGGAAGAAGAAATATAGAGGAGAAAGTTACCCAAAATCACATGGATGTGCAACATTTTTTTTTTTTTCAGTCAATGTATTTGCAGTTTTTTAGAAGCCACAAAAAATGAGCACCATATTTCTTGTCTATTTTAGTATTGAGTGTGTGCCTTCGATGACCCACGACTTTGATTATCTTTGGTGGTTGTGTTTAAACCATAGAAAACAACACGCGACCATGGAGAAGAGAGTGAGCGCAACTCCAACCGGCCAGTTCTCGATCGGCGGTTTTCGGGTGGAAAGAAAGCAAATTTCGAGCTGCAAATTGTGTTCTGGGTAATTGGGCTCTCATATGTCATGAACAACTAAAAACCTTGGCGAGCATTAATACCCTGTCAGTGTCCCTTTAATGGTTGTGGACAAGGTTACAGAGCATATGTGTGAACATATGCTCTGTAACCTTGTCCACAACCATTAAAGGGACACTGACAGGGTATTTATGCTCGCCAAGGTTTTTACTTGTACATGACATCTTGCAGTAGGATTAACCTGTAATGCAGAGTGCAAGTTTGTCTGCTTCTTCTGCAGGGATTGTGCTGACGTCAAAATGCCAAGCTCTCCGAATGAAGGGTAGTGGGTAGACGTCAAGGCAGCTTGCTTTGAGGTCTACCCACAATCCCTCAATCGGAGCTCGGCGTTCTGACGTCACCACCATTTCAGCAAGAGAAGCAGGTGAACTTGCGCTCTGCAGAGGGTTATGGCGCTTTTTCGCATCTCGCAAATAGATGATGTCGAGCATCGAACCTTGCTGCTCAAATTGACACAACCTGATCACACCAAATGGATTACCTAGTCTTTGGTCGTGTAAGAATGCGAGGAACTAGCAACCATGGTCTACTTGTGAATGAAGATCACTAATGCAGTTTTCATAAAAATCTCTCAGATATCGATTAAGGGATACAAACACTAGAAACCAGTCAACCTACCTGGGATCTTGCAGTAGGCAGTGAATGTTTCGCTTGTGAGAAGTGGCTCGGAGAGATCAGCAAGCAGGCTCTTCAGAACGCAGGCGCAATCGTGGACAGAGTACCCTTCTTTTTTGAAGTCTAGGGGCGTCCCCCTCATCAGCAGGGATTTCAGAATCTGCTGCCGACAGACACTTCCAGACTTTCTAAACAAGCCTTCGGTCCCGACATCTAAGAGAAAAAAAGAAACTCAGAACCGCAGCATCATGCCCGACAGGAGGTACTTACTGTCCTCCAAGCTTAAATGATGCATGATGAGCCGGATTGACCTGGCCACCACGAAGGTCAAAGGCACCTCGCCGCACGTATTTTCCGGCTCTGTCGATAAGGCAGGAAAGCGAGTTTCGACTGAGGGTTAGTTCTGGTAGCCTGTTGCACAACAAAGCACGACCGGCCCGCGAACTTGCTTACCTTTCGATAACTTGTACGGCATGTCGAGCACGAAAGAGAGGTGCATTCTGCACAACATTACGAAAGTATCGGCGTGGACGATACGGAATTCGGTTACTTCGTCCGGGCGCTGAGGAACTCCTGCCATCGTTGTGGGGATTGTGCCCGCTCACCGTCAAGCACGGGAACGCCTTCAGGTTTGCATCGCTCCGAGTGCAGACGAAGCCACTGAGAATCACCAACTGTCCTCTCTTCCTGGCTCGCAAACGAATAAAATTAATCGATCCAAGCGTACTCAAGAACCGAGTCTCGTTGTTCGTGTGGTTCTTGGTGGTTCGCGGGTTAGCCGGTTTGCTGGCTCTGTCAGATTCGTGTCGTTCGCCTAGCTTCCTCGCTGCTGCACGCCCTGCACGCCCTCGTTTTTCAACGGACACTTGAAACGTGCCGCTCCCCTCTCATTGGCTTTACCCTGACCAATGCCGAGCCAAGTTTCGTTTTCAAGCGTGAACGAAAGTAATCAAGCCACAAACAAAACTCGGTGACTGTTATTCATTTTATATAATTTTCGTTGGAGTTTAACGGGTGAACTGGTTAACGCAAAAGGCGGCAGGTGATGATGTGCGTGATTATACGGTTCTGTGAGCACCGACACCTGCCATCTCGCCCTCAATTTGCACCAACGCCCCGAAGCTTGCTTCATAGGAAACGCTGGGACGCTTTGTTTATGTAGCATTCTTTCCGCTTTGGCAATGAAGTGATTCCTCGCTGAACTCTATTTGTTTCAATTGGCGGTTTTCGCTGATTTCTATGATAAAGATTTATGGGTCTAGGCTTTCTAACCCTACAATTGGGCGATTTCTTAATGAGCGTTGGCCACCTTGTTTTTAAAAACGCACCGGCCCGAGCCGCCCGAGCCGTACATCAGCTGCATCAGCTGGTTGCCGATCCGAAATCCAAAGTTCGCGCGTAGTGTGATGGTGTGATCTCGACGGTTCCTACTCATTTAATCGTATCCCATATGTACTTTTCTTGAGATATGTTATCCTCAGTGACATTTTGGTTTTAGAGTAGAAAATAAAATGAGCCGTAGCGTTTGCGAACCACAGTAAACTCGCGTGATCGAGAGCTGCAACCAGAAAGTTCTTTACCGCGTGTTCTCAAGCATAATTAGGAAAGTAATGCTGAAACATGGGATTGTTCGTAAGACTACAGAAGTTACAATTTGTGCAGCACCGTGTCAGTTTTATTTCAAGCTGGGGGAACAAAACTACTCTTCGATGTTGCCACGGTGAGTGAGCTATTTCTCTACCAGCTGAATGTGCTAATAATTTAGAGGGCACTTTTTATTTTGTCGTAATTCTGTTCTTGTTTCTTCTTTGTCGTAGATGCTAAAATTAGGTTGGGAGACGTATCCATCAACACCAAGAAAGCGAAACACGAAGAACTTGTACCTGTCAAGTTCTGTGAGTACCGAGTAGAGGAAATCTCGGACAAAAGCTCAAGCGTGAGCTAACCCATGCTCCTAGAGGGGTCCATATCACAAGAGCGACTGACATTTTAGCGAACGGCGACATTTGAGCGAATGGTCGTTTTAGCGAATAACGGGGGCGCGCGTTAACCCATCCGTCGCGCTGCGCTTTTCGCCGCTTCGCGGCGACAGTCTACGGCAACTCATTACAAAAATATGAACTCACTTGGCCCACCCGAAAACGCCGCTTCGCGGCGTCCGACTATTCGCTAAAGTGTCGTTCGGTGAAACGTGGGCGTTCGCTAAAACGTCATTCGATCAAGTGAGTGCCTCCCAGCGTGGAGACGTGCATTTCTTGCGCGAGTGCTCCCGTTGTGGATGAACTTTTCAAATGGAGCGATCTGGTGCTTCTGGCATCGGCTGCAGCGTCAGCTTTAGGGTGAACCATGGAGGTAGGAAACTTATGGAGGCAACATGACGCCACCAGAGGTGAAGCCAGAAGTAAAGGACACCCCCCCAACGATGACCAAAACCAATTGGAGACTCTACTGGACGAAAAGGAGAGAGCTCTCCTTTTTGTCCAGTAGCGTCTCTTGGTTTTGGTCATCGTTGGGGGCTTGTCCCTCCACACACCTGGCTTCACCTCTGGTGGCCTCATGGTGCCTCCTGAAGCTTCGTACCACCATGAGGTGAACGGAGTATGTTCGTAAACCCGAACACAAACTAACCTGATACTTTTTTTTTTCTTTCCTTTTATTTTTATATAAGCTCAATTAGTTTTAGAGCAGCCCTAAAAAGCAGCTCAGTCAATAAAACATATGCACTGACTTTAGCAAGGTTCACCATTGGTACTTGTGGTAGAAAAAAAATAAAAGAAAGGTGTAGTCATTATGTGAAAGAAATACAACTATAAATATTCTTATCCCTGATAGTCACATTGAAAAAAGCATTAATAGGACTAAACAGACCCTGCTAGAAAGTGAATACACCGGTCAATAACATTACGCTATGATAACAATTTATAGCTATTATGTACTCGCATAAAGATCTGTAGATGATCACTTCCTTTGGTGTACGACATGGGTGTAGAGTTCAGTGCAAGCCATGTTGAATTAACCTGAGACGGGGGTAGAGAGGAAACATCAAAACTTAGAAGAGACAGAAAATAGGCAGGATGATGTCTATTCATCAGCTCGCCTGTACCCTTACAATATTTTCAATGCAAGGTTCAATTCTAAAACTCAATGATGTTGGATGCAAAAATGAATTTTATGATCTGTTCTTTAAATATCTCTTAAAGTTATAGATGTAAGCCATATCTCTGACAAAGCGATGAGGATGAATGCATCCATATCTAACATGATAGCTAGAAGGATATGCAGAGCACAAGTTTGTCTGCTTCTTGCGCAGGGGTTGCACTGACGTCAGAATGCAGAGCTCTGATGGGCTCCGACCGGAAGGATAGTGGGTAGACCTCAATGTTAGCTACCTTCAGGTCTACCAACCATCCTTCTAATCGGGGCCAATCAGAGCTTGACATTCTGACATCACCGCAACCCCCTGCTCAAGAAGCAAAGAAACGTGCGCATGATCCTAAGATGGTAGCAAGATTGGGATACACATACTCCAAACATTCCCAGCATTTACAAATCATGGATGAATTCAGCATACCCTGCTTTATTCAAAGGCATTAAGCGATGCAGAGGTACAGTTATTTGAAATTACGGTAACATAATCTGTATTTGAGGGTGGGCACGTATATCAGAGTCAACATAGAAGATATTTGAGCATTTGTATATTTCCCCTTCATTTTAATTTCTAGTTACCTGGCTCTGCGTTTCCTCAGTTAGAAAAGTGTTTTTTTCAGCTTGTAATTTTAACCTATGGTCGCTTGCCCGGAATTCACTGGTATGGCAGTATTTTTAGCTTATCTGCATTGTGTGGTTAAGCTGGATTTCTTTTTTTTTTTTTTTCAGCAGACTTTTCAGTTAATTGGGGACATACGATTTTAACATGTACAGTGGCCCTAATTTTTAATAATATCACGCGAGCGTCGATTGCTGGGACGGCCAGCGCGGTGCCGGGAGGGATTAGGCGCATGCAAACTAAGCTCTTTCCGGTGCGAGCGTCGTCTGCTAGGCTATTCCGTTGACCGCACACAGCCCCTGTTCATTATCTGCTGGCATAGCTACCGCCTTTAAGTGAAAAATCTTAAAGGGGCCCTGCAAGGACTTTTTACTAGTTTTTAATTTGCGCCGAACCTGAGCGCACAGGATGTAGTAACTTAGTGAAATTTTTATTTTCTCGAAATTCTCTTTATTTTAAAAGTTATAGGCAAATTAGAATTACAAAAACAAGCAAAAAATAACCTCCCCCATGACGTCCTTGGTTGCTTGAGCGGCCGTGAATTGGAGGAGGGGTAGTGGGCTCATCGCGAGCGCTCACGGCTGCCGCACTCCGTGTCGACGGCACGAGAGGGCGCCACTAACTCATGTTCTGGATAGGCTGTATGCGGCGGGCAGCCAGAGCGGCTCTCATTGCATTTGCTGCGCGATAAGACTAATTCGGCATGACACTTCATTGGCCACAACGACAGCAAACACGGAGTAAAGATCAGTTCAGAATGGGAGCCACTTCGCGCTGCCATACCGCGAAGCGGCAAAACCGCAAGGCAAAACTTCTCGCCGAAGGCCTTCGGAACGCTCGGAGCCGGTAGGATCCTCCAGCCCGTCAACGACCGCAACGCCGCCGCGTGCATCCGGGACCTTTCCGTCTCGGCGGCTGATCCCACTACTCTTTTCTAGTATGCGTCGCCTTTTCCACCGCTTGGTGGCGGGTATGTCGACGGGTCATTTCTTGTTTCCGTACTTTATAAACTGCATTCGTTTCTTTTCGGATCTAAAATACCGAACAAAAACTACTTTTATAAATAATTAAAACAGTTCGCGCCGCTGATATTTTGTATTTCGACTAAAAAGAAGTTTTTAGCGGCTCTGACCAGTAGTAAGCCCAGGACCTAAGACGTCACATTTTGCGCGCTTTTGGTACCGCGGGTCGCCCCCGTCGGTGAAGGAGGTTTCCGCCTCGTCCGGTTAAAATATGACGCACTAATATTTAGTTACTCCCTCCGTGCCCGCTGGCTTGCCCGAACCCCAAGAAGCGCGGAAACCGCAAAAAAGGTAGACGCTTAAATATGATTGCAGGGCCCCTTTAAGAGCGCTTGCTTGCCCGATACTGCCAGGCGTGGCATAAACCGCGCATCATCTCGAGTTTAAATTTTTTTATGTTTGCGTTTATTTTGTGAGCACCAACACAAATGAAAAATATGGTGACGTGACAAACTGAATGCAACGATGCATTAAACTATATACCGCAGCCAATGCTACGAGCCATCAAAACCAATTCAGTGCTCTCACCTTGCCATGTGACATTGTGCTTCCACATGCAGTTGCAACCAACGGGTAGGCCACGTGACACACATTTAGAGATGGATTGGCCAAGATAACTTGTAGCGTCGGCTGCGGTACAACACAAAGTGAAACGAAGTATAGACAGGGTTTCCGCTTGGTGTTTGTATTATCAACGGCGTTGTTGCTGTTTTCATTTAGCCTATGTGGCCGGGTAGTCACATTTTTCTTTGACCAGTTGATGCGCGCACATTTTTATGCCTCCTCAGTGCTCATAGAAACACGGGAACGTGTTGTGAGAATGTCGATAGGTGGCATGATGTAAAGGGATATCGCAACAACAGTCGGGGTTACACAGGCTATTGTCAATAGGATTGTGAACGCATTCCAAGAGGAGGGGCGTATTGGCGATGCACTTCGGTTTTGCAAGCGCCCTGCCCTCCTTGCTGCGAGCAGGGGCTGTGTGCGATCATCGGAATAGCCTAGCAGACGACGCTCCCACTAGAAAGGGCTTTGTGCACTCGCTCTTAATCTGTCCCGTATCGCCGCACGCCTCTGCGACACGGCACTGGCCGTCCCGGCGGTCGACGCTCACTCGATATTATTAAAAAATTGGGACACTGTACATGCCATTGTATAGCTAATTTTAAAAACTGTTTAATCAGTATTGCTTTCTTTCGCTTCTTCCAGTGGATAGCACCCAGAAGCAATCTGTTCTTCAGCACCTGAGATGGATGATGCAGAAAGTAAGGAGCTGAATATGATGAATTTATGAGATAATTTCAAAGTATGGCAATTGGTGGTAGGTGCTGGAAAGGTCAATTTTAACCACTGTTTTATTGGAAGAGCATTAAATACCAAATGTGTTAATCTACGTTTGAGTTTAATTTTTTTTAGCATTATGCCAAACTATAGTAATAAATGATGATAACCCCCAGAAAAGGGGAACAAGGGGGACAAAGGACAAACACAAATCTCCAAACACAGCTAGTTAGGTTACTGGTGCGCAACCCAAAATATTCTCCTGGTCCTGGTATTGAACCAGGAACCTCTCCATTTCCAGTGGAGCTCTCTACCAACTGAGCTAACCAGGAGCGGTCCCTGGTTCGATACCAGGACCAGGTGGATTTTTTGGTTGCGCACCAGTCACCTAGTTGTGTTTGGAGATTTGTGTGTGTCCTTTGTCCCCCCTGTTCCCCTTCTCCAGGGATTATTATCGTTTATTCTGTCCAGCTCGCCTGCACCTTTGCATTAATTACAGTATAGTAATGTCATATTTAGTGATTAGAATTACACCTGACTCAGTGTTTGGTCTGGTATCTTTTGTTACTGAGATTAGTATATTATTTGACATATCCTTGTTAGACTCGGTTCTAAAGAAACAAATTTTAACAGTAGATATGCTCCCCAGTTTTTGGAAGGTACTGTTGCGTACAGGTTGAATACCGAGTCCGAAAAATGTGTTGGAACTGTCTCCAGGCCGACAGAGCCGCTAGCGCACAGGGCACGACAGCATGACTAAGTTCCCCCAGGAATGCTTCAGCCAGCAAAGAATAAGTATTTGGTCAAGATGCATCACCGCCTGTTGCAAGGAACCGACTGCCCCCACCCTGTTGAGTGGCTCCAAAAATGGCCCCTCATTGCCACGCTAGTAGAAATCTCACTTTCCCAAAAGGAGGGCGAGGAAGATAGTGCACTGGCGTCATCTGTCGGCCTGTTAGTTTACTATTTATATTTGGTTTCGATTTCACTTTTCTCTCTTCTCTCTGGATTCTGTCTTCTCTCTGGATTCTTCAGCAGGAGAGAATGCACCATAGAGCTGGACAGTACAGGGGCCTCACTTGTACTTCTTAACTGTATGCCTGGCACATTATAAAAGCTTGCTGGCTAATGGGCAAGAATGCATTCTGCTCCGATTTACAGGATGCCCTGGGCCAAGACATTTTTCTCATAGGACCTCCGGGCGCGTATCGACGTCGTGTCGCATTCCAATACCTGGTGAGTCATCCACCCGTACCATATTCCCCTGAAATGTTGCCTCTTTGTGTTGCATCAGTCTACCTTTATTGTCTGTCCTCACAGGAGCTTACTCGACGCGAAGTTGAATATGTTGCCCTCACTCGAGACACCACTGAAACCGACCTGAAACAGAGACGAGAAATCCAGCAGGGAGCCTCTCTCTGTATAGATCAGGTATGTGCATTTTTCCGTTCAGATGAAGTCTACTTGTCTTTGCTGCGTTGGTGTCGCAAGTCTTACGAAAGCTCTGTCCGTAGGCAGCAGTCAAGGCGGCCACAGAGGGGCGCATCTTAGTCCTCGAGGGTGTAGAGAAAGCTGAGCGCAACGTTCTGCCCGTTCTCAACAACCTGCTCGAAAACCGGGAGATGCAGCTGGACGACGGCCGGTTCCTTGTGAGCCCTGCCAGATACGACAAGCTGCTTGCGGTTGGTAGCAATTATTTGGTTTCTGAAGGGCAAGGAAAATGTGGCATTGTATTACAGTTGCTGACGTTGGTTTCTGTATGACCCTTCTCAGAGCTACTCAAAGGAGACTCTCGACAGCTGGAAGCTAGTCCGAGTCTCTGAAGATTTCCGTGTTTTTGCCCTCGGTGTTCCCGTTCCGCCGTTCCGAGGCAACCCGCTTGACCCACCTTTTCGGTCTCGCTTTCAAGTGCGCAAGCTCGAGAACTCTGCTTACAAGGTGGGCTTGTTTTTGTTTCTTTGTTTGGTTTCTGTACTGTATATTCATGAGACAAAGCCCGGTCTTGGTTATATTTAATGGATCTGCTGGTACTCTATGGTCAATTCTGTAAAACCCTTAATGCTCATGAGCCCCTAATTTTGGGGATTTTTACATTAGGAAAAGTTCTGCACTTTAGGGACACAGATATTTTTATTGTCTAGGTAGTGAGGAGCATTCCAGCTCTTAGAATGTCCAAAATATAATGGTTGTAAATATGACCCCTCTGCCAAATTTGTGAAACATTGAGGCCACTAAACTAAAGGGTTTTACACTATCTTAGGTTACAGCTTTTTTTGTGTTGTGTGAGTAATAGAGAAAGCTATGGCAAGTAACTTTAAAAGGACACTGACACCCCCCCAAAATTTTTTTTTTTTTTTTTTAATTTTTTACTAGGCAATTTAATATGGTGTCAGAAGGCTACCCAATCAGTATTTTTCTGTTGAGGCACATATATTTTTAATAAAGCCAAAAAACTCAACTGCTTGAAACCGATACACGAGCCCGAAGTTTATGGCCGGAAGTGACGTGGCTACACAAGCAGTTAATTTTTTTCTCTGCTTCTCCGGCCTCTGATGCAGATGTTTCCGCCGCCGAACTTGCATGTACCGTTTGTCGTGCGATCCTTTCACGCTTCTGCTCGATGTTTTGTGCTTGAAGATCAATTGGCCTGTACCACGAATGACAGTTCTGAAGTAGCGGCCCCACGCCCATTGCAACTTTGGTTCGTCGTGCGCTGCCATCGCGTCATTCAGCCCGCGGTACATCGCCATATTGAAAATTATGTATACATGTACTTCCTGTGATCTGTACAACTTTTTTTTTTGCGATGAACGTAATGGCGACTTCTTGGAGGCCACGAAAAATGTGGTTTATATTCTTTTCTATTTTTAATATTGAATACCGTGTCATAGATAACCCATGACTTTGAATATATTTGGTACACATAGTTTAAATGCCACGTGACAGTAAAAAAGAGAGTGAGCACGCCTGAAGCCGGCCAATTTTCGACTGGCTGTTTTCGGGCGGAAAGGAATTTAGAGCCGCAATTTGTGTTCTGGAGTTGGGCTCTTATAGGTCATGTTCAAATAAAAACCTTGGCAAGCATAAATATTCTGTCAGGGTATTTTTAACAGGGAATGAGGGTTTTTTAACATTTTTTTTTATTTATTTACATATCTCACTCAAATACAGTAGGAGAATGTATCTTAATGCTGATTTAAAATCTGCAGTCAGATTTAAACAACTATTTTTTCTCAAACAAAAATACGGAAAAATATACAATCTTAATTAGGTCAAACATAGTGAATTTATCTGAGACTAAAGTTTCTAATTACGTGGACAAAGAACACTTCTCCGTGTTTGTGCTGCACCTTAGAAAACCCCTATCTCGGGTAAATTCACCATGTTTGACCTGAACCAGCTAGCTTACACCCTCATTTTTTGTTCTTTAATTGGGTCATTTCTTCTAATAATGCTAATAGTGATAACCTTTATTGGTTATTTCTCTATAAAAACCTTTTGACCATAAATGCCGCTTCTCAAGGGTCTGCCATATATCCTAAAGCTAATAATACATTTATAGAGAAGCATTATTTATTATAAATAAATAAATCGTGTGGAAATGATAATAAATGGAATGATAATTATCGAAAGTTACAGTTAATGAACTTTTATATATATTGAGCAGGGGCAAAAAGTAAAGCTTTAGGATACAGTTCAGTTCTTGCAGAAAGTAACGATACCGAGTCTACCGAAATCGGTTCGTGAGATCATTGTCAAAACCCCCATAATTGCGCTTGACAAAAATAAGCAAAGCCAAGAAAACCTCGAGACTTGCAATGTGCTGCTTTTCTAATAGCTAGAGATTGAGCATTGATTTGAGGAGTCATATTTTCTGGGGAGATATACTCTGGGCTATGAAGAATTCAAAAGTTGTGATTTTTGAAGAGTGTGTTGCAATGTTTTTGCCAATTTCAAGATTCTCGTCCCCCTTTTAATTGAAAGTGCTCACCTTGTTTGTTTCTTTTCGGCAGGAGCAACTGGAAAGTTTAATTGCTCGAGCAAGGAATGTTCCAGAGAAAAGGTATTTGGCGATGCACCATTAAAGGCTGGTCCGCACATTGGTGCTTAAGTGTGCTCGACTCTGTTGCGTTCCCTTATATTCGCTCACGACAAGAGGACACACTGTCGCCTTCCATCGGGTTGCCCTGGAGCTGCGTGTGACTAGACAGAAGGTTCTGCTCCATTTGCGAGATTGAATCTACGCACTATTCGCGAGAAATGGTCGCTTCTTACTTTGTCATAAATATTTCAAGCCCGTGGTGAGAGAAAGAGGCGGAAAAGAATTGTAAAAATATGAGGGAGATTGAAAGCGTTCCCTCTCCACTTTTTATGGACATGCAGTATGCTACTATGTCTCACCTTCTTTTTTTTTTCTCTCTCTTGTTTTGCGTTTGTTAGGTTGTCGAGCATCTTGTCATTTGTTCATTCATTGTTGGCAAGCAAGACACCAGCGTTGATACTCCCCGACTTTCCTGTCGACAGCCTGGAAACGATAGCAGACATTATGGTAACTCATATCTTATTCTATATTCTTACGAGCTTTTGTCTAATTTGTGTTTTTTTTTTCGTTGAGGTTGAGCGCTCTAGTCTGTACACAAAAAACAGGATTTTCTTTTTTCTTTCAGCAACGCTTTCCTTCGGTGTCTTTCCAAAGCCTGTTAGCAAGAATCTATCCTGAAGAAATCCTTACGAAAGAGGGTAAAAAGGCAGTTCAGGACGCGCTGGCTGTAAGTGGAGTCTTCAAAACTTGTGGAGACAGGGGAGAGTGTGGCAGCAGATTCCGGTGAATGCAGTACATACCACATATATACATATGATTTACTACTAATACCACATATATACATATGATTTACTACTATTGTCGGTGACAGGTTCAGAGTTCAGGGCGACGGAAAGGAAGGCTGGGGAGGAGGAAGCAGATGGATTGCTGGAGAGGAGGAAACATCCCCCTCGCTTCAGCATTCCGCCTGCTTCCTCCTCCCAGCCTTCCTTTCCCTTGCCCTGAACTCTGAACCTGCCACCGACTATAGTTGCATTTTTAGCTGTTGTGTGAAGATAATTTTTTATATCATCTTTTCGCACTTTGAATCAATGCTTTCCTTTGCATAAACAATTGTCACATGGCTTTTCTTCTTTCTTTCTTTTTTGTTGTGGCAGAAAGCTGGGAAGTGGCATTCTTGTGCTTCTAAAATTTCATTATTATGCAGATATAGTATTTACAGTAGACTCATTAATTCAAACTCCAGGAAGCCACAATTTTTGTTTGAATTATCAGAAATTCATCTAACTATGATGCAAGATAAAATTATAATTTACCATATGAATGGCTACACGTACAAACCAGATATTTGATGATTTCCTCTACATAGGCCTTCTCATCATAAGCAGGTATGCCACATATGAAACAATTAAGTTTATTTAAGCTTGTCTTAAAGTTTTCTATATGTATTTTCATAGTCATCGTGCATGAAGTATATATGTGGTATTTTCAGAAAGTAAGTACTGTTTTGAAATAAGAAAGTTATGCAACATTGTTTGTGAAATGCTTTATTTTCAAACTATTCTGCATATTTTAAGTTAATTTACGATAAGGGAAGAGGGACATTTAAGACAAACAGACAAGACAGACGAAAGCCTGTCTTGTCTGTTTGTCTTCAATGTCCCTCTTTCCTTATCGTAAATTAATAACCAACACGCTCAACCATCTACACCTTAAGTTATCTTTTGATGTAATTTTTCTTCAGTATAAAAACATTTTTTATATTCTGGATCAAGTGTTACAGTACCCTCCTTGTAGAAGTGTGCCACCTGAGTCGTGAGCCAACATCATTTGCACCCAACATGAAAATAGTTTGCTCAGTTGAAGTTTTTTGTAACTATTTTGTGAAGTAATTATTTTCAAACTTCGGGGATATGTTTTGAAAGATCAGAATTTGTGTAGCGTTGGTTCTCTAGATTTTTTTTCTTTTCTTTATCCACCAAATATAATTGTGACCAGAGATGGCCTACTGCTCCTCAATGCATTATGAATGCTCTGTTGCCCTTTATTAAACATTCAAACCCGTTTCCACACCTTTCTTTGGCTCAGTGCATTTAGTCTATAAATGGTACAAATTTGTCTTTGAATCTTTTACGATCTATGTGGTCTAACATTTGTCGCATTAAAAAAAAAAACAGTTCACAACGAATTTGAGTGCAGCTCCTGGAATGTAAAATAAAAGGTGTTGCATTATTATGAAATCTGGTTCAAGCTTGTAGTTTAGTTTGCTGGGTGCCTTGGGGCAAAGTGGAGCGTGGCAAAAAACAAATGTTGCCACCGTTTTTTTTTTTTAAATAAGTTTTATTACATTTTTAATATACTTCATTCAGGAAAACAGAAAAGAAGTACTACTCTTTTTTTTTTAAATAGTATCTTATTCATGAAATAAGAGGACCCAGCTAAATTGGTGACTAAGTACAACATTACATTCCAGATGTTCAATCTGGCTGGGGATGGACAGTCCAAGTCTAAGATTGAAGAGGCTGCAGTGTCCTCAAGTGACTTGTTTCAAAGGGCAATTGTCTCCATTGCTGGCAACAAGCACACTGTGGAGGTAAGCTTGCTAGGCAGTCTTCTCCAAAGGTCCCCAATGATGAGTGCTTGCCAGCTTTGTCTAGGAATAATATTTGACATCAGTTATTTTGCATCAATGCAGGTTAGCAGGGGCTCACTACCTCCAAATACAGGAGCTGCTTCAGCATTCATCACCACACCTTATCATGAAAACTTGCTAGCAGAAATGCTGATGTCTCACTCTGCTTATGATATCTGCCTCATTGGTTCGAAGGTAAGCTTAGGGGCTGGATGAATTGGTTTCTGCTCCTCTTGTTTTATATCTTTATACAGCAGCTAGCACTTTAAGAGCCATAATTTTTAGTTAACCTTTTTTACTGCTAAATTTCTTGTTTTATTGGTTGGTTCTATTATGGTTGTGCCTAGTAAGAAGGCTGTGTTTAAATTGTCATGGTCTAATGCATTACAGGTCATACAATATATGTTTGTGCAATGGCAAAGGTTTTGTACCATACCCTGAATTTTCTTATCACAAAATATTTTAACACCCCCCAGATTGAGAATCCTGGGTAAACCCTTGGAGGTGTGAACTCTGTTACATGGAGCACAATTTTAATCCTCACTCCTTCCATGCAGTGCTATATAAAAGTTTGCCTTAAAATGTAGCTAGGATATAGTTGCATTCTACAGATGTGCCAAGAAGTTTCAGTTATGGTCACTCACAAAGAGTAACCAGTGTTTGTTCCTATCACTTTTAAAATAGTATCCTGCAATGCTGCGATGCACTGCAAATGCTCACCAGCGGTTCATTTTCTAATGCGGTAAAGACATTGGCATAGTTCCATCTTGATTTATGCTTGGCCCACAGCAAACTTCGAGGCAGTAATACTCTAGTGACATGGGCACCCTTAACCGCAGTTAAGTCACCCTTAATTGCAGTTATGCTTCACCACACTTGCTGCTCTTTACTCTCGGACAGCTGTATTTGAGAAGAAGTGAAAGGTGTCCATGCACAGCTTTGATGGGTGCTCAAAGTGTGCATGTGTACGTGCCCATAGCTTGGACTGCATAGCCACCATTGGTGCACCCATGATTTTCATCTGGGGGTGGTTTCTGGAAAATTTGATAACTGACACCGATGGATGCTCGTCGCTGTTTCTCGCTTAAGACCGGAAAGTCCATGGCCTACTCGCAATTAACTCCGGAATTGTGTAAGTTATAGTTGCTGAAATTGCATAGTAACCCGAGAAGTGTTTCTAAATGCTTGCAACTACGAGTTATACTTTACGGCTCTGCTTCCATGCAAACACTTGCTTGCCTGAGAGGACTGCTTTACTCTGGTGCCCACTTGCAGTGTTGGAAAGTAACATGGGTGGGGTAGTTCTTCAGACATCTAAGCGAATGAATGAATAAGGCTGGTTCGCTCATGTGCATTTGAATGTGATCGCCTGCGTTACGATAACGTGTGACCGCTTGTGATGAGAGACCGCACAGGTGCCATCTGTCTGTTTGGGGTGCAGTTGGTCACATTCGTATGAAAGTGTGTGGGCCAACTTATGCAGAGCGCAAGTTTGTCTGCCTCTTCTGCAGGGGTTGAGGTGATGTCAGAATGTCGAGCTCTGATTGGCTCTGATTGAAGGATAGTGGGTAGACTTCAAGGCAGCTTGCTTGGAGGTCTACCCACTATCCTTCAATCAGAGCCAATCAGAGCCCGGCGCTCTGACGTCACTGCAACCCCTGTAAAAAAAGCAGACAAACTTGCGCTCCACATAGTATTGATAACCAGCTGTTTCCTTCTTTGTGACAGGGGTGCGGCAAGACTGCTCTCGTGAAGCAGTTTGCGAGCCTGCTGGGCTACGAACAGGAAGTGGTGCTGCTGTACCAGGACATGGGAAGCCGTGATTTGGTGCAGCAGCGTACGACACTTGCCGATGGGAACACCACCTGGATTGAAGCGCCGCTGGTCACGGCTGCTCTCGAGGGAAAGATGGCTGTCCTTGATGGCATTCACAGGCTGCACCCTAGCACTATTTCGCAACTGCAGAGGCAGGTTGTTCTTCCCTATTTGCAGCTGGCTGCAATGTGTCGTAGAAATTAAAGGAATCTTCACTACCGTAAAATACCGTGGAAGTGCCCACTTCATTCAAGCGCCCACTAATAACATTTCCTAAACTTTTGAATTCTGAAAGTTATGCGTTAATTGCCCAATTTGACCATACAAGTGCCCAGGCATGGATTAACTCAGTTTTCAGTGAAAGTAGGGTGGGCTCTCCCCTGGTACTTTACGGTAGACTTTTCTGACTTGGTGCTCGAATGTGGGCAGCGAGGGCGAGATCTTTTTCCCCCTTTCAGACTGATTGCGAACATGTTCTGCCCCATTTTTGGAGTCGTTGGTCCGTCTAGCCTTGTGGGCGCATTTGTGACCCTAAAATTTCAGCAAGCTTTCATACTTGGTCATTTGTACTGTTTGCCTTCGAGTGTGGAGCAATGGGCAGGGCTTGCAAAAGTGAAGGGTTTTGCAGTTTTTTTCAGATTAATGAAACTGGGCATAACTACAGTCTCTATAAAGTTAATGGGTTTCCATGAACTCTTAGATTTGTGTTAACTATGTTTACGAATTTGGCAGTTGAGAATTTTTACAGAATTTGTAAGCTTAATGGCATAGTTCAAATTGTTGAGCACAAGAGAAGCATTTTGCCTGGTGTTACGTGTTGTTGATTCCACCTTTTCTTCAGTTCAATCTTCTGTTGTGATTGGTACATTAGGATAAGAGGTTGGGTTATATGATTGAGTTGTGCCAAGTGTTACGATCAAGACAAACCTTGTTGCTAAAGAGTGTTTCTGACTCCGTTTCCAAAGGCTAACTCAAGATCGAGAACTGCAGCTGTTTGACGGCAAGCGCCTATTACGCCATGATCGTTATGATGCCATAAAGTCATCCTGTGGTTTCTCTGATGGTGACATGAAGACAAGGTACCACATGCTTCCCTTTGTTTTTTAGATCCAATGTTTGCTTTTTTTTGTTCATTTCTGTGATATTGCCTTCCTTCAATTAAAGTTAGTGAGAGCTGGAGTAACAGAAGCGAGTAAAGTCTCATTCTTATTTGTGCCATAAAACCCCTGATCATCATCGTCATATGCATATGCAAACCAGCAGGAGGGAATGTCTTAACAGTGCTCCCACTGAGTATTACCTAATTTTAAGAGCATCATAAATTTTGGCACTTGTCGTACGAATGACATTACATTTTTAATTGTCTTCTGACTGGGGACTGCAGTATGCACGTTAAGATTCTACTTGTCTATAGCTTCCTTTTTATACATGTTTCTTCATCGTGGTGTTCCAGGCAGCTGTATAGGATTCATCCATCGTTTCGCATTGTTGCCCTTGCTGAGCCACCCTCGAGCAACCAGAAAGTGAAGCAGGAAAAATGGCTAACTCCTGAGATCCTGCCCATGTTCCTGTTTCACTCTGTTAGAAGTCTGTCCCTTGCTGAAGAGAGGACAGTCATTGAGAGCATGGTGAGCTTGTGCAGCAGTGTCTTTGGATATTGTAAACTTCCGCATGTATAAAAAGCCAGTAGTAAGAGCTTTTTTTTTAATAATGACCATGCTACGCAGTGTGTTGCATGGCACACTGTCCAAATCGCTCCTGCGAAAAGTATGCATCCCACCAGTGGCATAGCCAGGAATTTTCAGGAGGGTGTGGCTTGACTTGTGGTGTGAAGAGGGTGAGGCAAAATGCATGTTATAGGTAGGGTTCCATGTTTTCGAATAAATCTGAAAAACTCAGAAAAACGCTCACCGGTACAATTTTCGCCAATTTGTGTTTATTGGATTAACTCAGAATTTCGAGGTCATGATGGCAAAATAAAAAGCAGTAGAAAGCACAAAAGATAGTGTTTTATGAATACATTTTATGAGAACACAGGGTCGGTGGTCCTGAGGAGTGGCAACTTCAGTTTCCTTTGAAATTTCCGACTATTGGCCAAATGGTTTGCTGGTTATTTCGTCAAGGTCCACAAAAAATAAGGTTCATATTCTTTTCTATTTTTAATATTGAATGTGTACCTTAGATAACCCACGACTTTGATTATTTTTGCTACGCATCAGTTTGAACGTTGCATGACCATAAAAAAGAGTAGCGCACCTGAAACCGGCCATTTTTCGACCGGCGGTTTTCGGGCAGAAAGAATACGAATTTCGGGCCGCAAATTGTCTTCTGGGTAGTTGAGCTTTCATAGGTCATGTTCAAGTAAAAACTTTGGCGAGCATAAATACCCTGTCAGTCAGTGTCCCTTTAACAAGCTCCAGAAAAAAGTAACTTTATTATAGTCGTTGACAAGTTCAGAGTTCAGAGCGAGAGAAAGGAAAGCTGGGGAGGAGGAAGCAGGTCGAATGCTGGAGCGAGGGGGTCGTTTCCTCCTCTGCTTTCCAGCAGTCCATCTGCTTCCTCCTCCCCAGCCTTCCTTTCTCTCACCCTGAGCTCTGAACCTGTCACTGACTATAGGAAATGTATTAAAAAAACAATAATTGCAATCCACAAAACCCTTGTTTTAATGTGAAGTGGTGCAAGTTAAGGTAAAAATTAATTGTAGAAAGTGCAATTCTATAGAAAAACAACACTCCAAAAGACAAAAAATGTTCACAAATTTTTTTTGTGTTTTCAAATATTCAGTTTTCATCATGAAGAAGTCAGCCTTTTCAGATTATGAGTATCTTAACTTGTTCCTCAGGAAATTTCCGTCGAGGACACCACTGAATGAAGTCTTTAAACTTTCAGTGTCAAATGGTACATTTCCTCATACCACGTTTCCTGCCAAAAAGTGAAACTGAGAAAGATGCATTTGAAGTTTAAACTTTAGGTTTCTTTATTTTCTATGAGTCCGAGGTAGGTGAAATTCGGAGCAGGCATTCCTTGACAGATGAGCTGGTGAGAACTAGGAGGCAAATCATACTAAGAAGAGCAGCAAAGCAACAAATGATCTGTGGAAGGTACTGTCAAAAAGGGTGTTACTGAAGGTGGCATAATATCACGTCACGGGGCAGGACCAATCCTAAGCCCTGTTTCGGGTCTCAAGCAATGAGATTGCTCATACCAAGTTTTCCGCATTTTTTCTGTTTGGATATATGGGGTTCTCTTGGCCATTGATACTTTTAAACTTGGAAATTTTCTACGGACCAAATCTAGAATAAATGGCGCATCCAATGAAGGCGAGATGTTCTGGTTACGTTTCAACGAGTATGAAAGAGCCCTAAGTCAAAAACGTAAAAACTTCCTCCCTGCTGACTCGGATGGCTGCCGAAAATAAAAATGCTGCATGCCGAAAATAATTTATTGTGAGATAAATCGTGCATGTTTATAAAAGTTTCTGAAACCATTCTTTGGAAGTTAATAAATATGAACATATCATTTTTGAAAAAGGGTCTTTTTCTCAAAAATTTGAATTTCGAGGTATGTGTCTGGATATTATTTATCTTTTATTAAAACAAGTGGGGAAACACAGTAAAATTAAGCTCAGAATTTTGGAGAATTGGAATTCTAAAAAAAATGAACTCAGAAAAACACACTCTGAATTTCACAAACAATAAACTTAGAAAACGGAATCCCAACTATAGAGTATTCTGGATTTCAAGGGGAGGGGGGGCTGAAGTCTCATAAGCCCCTCCTCTGGCTATATGCCACTGCATCCCACAGATAAAAGGCTGAGGTCACATTAATCTCTGCCAAAGGGCCTATTTAAAAACATTAATAACATCAGTATAGTTAGGTTCTTAAGGAATTGTGAGTCAAAACATTGTGAATTCATAGATTAGTAATTAGTAGAGTAGAGTAGTTGCATGTGTAATTTCATAATGTTTTGAATACTGTAAACAACTTAATTTTCGTGAGGACCTAATTTTCGCGAATTTCGCGTATCGTCTACAATTCGCGAAAAATAGATCCCGCGAACAATTCGGTCAGAATTTCAACACATATGAAGCTACAGTTAGGTGCTTGTGGTTTGCGAAAATTAGAGCCCGCGAATTATTCCAATTTTATAACTTTGGCCCGATTCGCGAAAATTTGAGCCCGCGAAAATTATGTCGTTTACAGTATTTGTTTTCCTTTCATGACTGTGTGTTGCCACATTTTCATATCTTCTTTATTTTAGGTTGGAAAACTTGGAACTAACATGGAGATGGTGCTAAAAATTGCACATCAACTTCGAGTTTCAGATGATGCTACAGTGAGTATGGAATAATGTTTTGTAGCGTTGGAACTTGCTAGTCAGTTCCAGGGCTACCGAGTACTTGTTCTACAAGGAATACCTTTAAAAAGGGGTGTCAAAATTGATGCTTCATTTATATGCTCATTTCAGAGATGTCTTTGAACCATTAGAAGTAATTGAGATGAGTTTTGTTTGCTTTGAAGGGCCTATTAAACAAGCAGGTATGCTTTCACCTATTTCCTGACCGCAGGAAAAGAAGCAATTTTTAAAGGATCAGTGCAAATGCTTTTATTTTCCCAACTGATTTGCACATGGGGCAATATGACACTTCAAAATGTGGCCAATTAGTTGCTCTTAGTTGCTCTTTTAAAACAAACAGAGGTTGATACATATAATGTAAGGAAAAGATTTAAAATTTTTATTTCTTGAAAATGCAATGTATGTGCGGAAGACGTATAAACACCGAAATTTTTACAACGACAAATAAATGAAAATTTCGGATATACATGTGCCCCACACTCACGGCTATTACTTTTGAAAGTTAGTGTACTCTAACTGACGTTGTCTATTTTTGGTTCGTTGGAGATTTAGCCTTCGTAAACGTGTGCTTTTCACCGAAGGAATGCTTATAGTGGTGAAATACAGATAGTACACCTCACATCCCCAGTAGAATGAGAAAAAGGTTTTATTAATAACGGAACCAAGCTGTAGCTCAAACATGTGACGAAAAAACTAGTCACTGACTGTAAAATAGTGCTCAGATAACGTTTTCAAGATAAAAAGGGTGGTTGATATTGCTATTTCAGCTGCAGTCCATCGCAGGCTCCCTTTCTACCCGGCAGCTTCTAAGAATTGCACATCGCCTGGCAAAGTACCCTGACCTACCAGTCGTCGATACTGTTTACAAGGCCTGCTTGGCTCAGTAAGGAGTGTTTGTCATTGCATTGCTTACGCTCTGTTGGACAGCTGGTTTATAAGCCCAAAAAGTAAAAAAGGTGTACCAAATTTTCCAATGTGTAGGTCACTTTTTCTCCTTTTTTTTTACAAATTTTGGTTAGGGAGTCTTATACATTGGTGCGACTTGTGTGTTTTATTTAATAAATATGGACCTTAAAGGGAGACTGAAGTGGTTCTGTATTTGAGTAAAAACACTTAAATCGTCTTCATTTGGCCTCCAGGATCACAAATATCAAGATTATTTTTCAGTTTGGTGCACAGAGGCTGCTGAAAATCATGTTCAAGGTGCCGCTGAAGCCTTTTTTTCCAGGAGCGTGACGTCATATCCAGAGTCTTCGAAATCTCCACTCTCGTGCATCTTCAATGCCTATCAAAGCTAACTACACGCATTGTCTTGCTATTTTCAAGAAGGTCAGAAAGAGATGTCCTTGACTGGTGTCAGTGCGGGGCAATATACCTGGCAAGCTTGCAATTGCACGTGCTGCCCACACGAGCGATACGCGCTTGGCGGCCGAAAGATCTGTGTATGACATAACGACTGGTTGGAGGTTTTTCGTGTTTTCTCTCGTTAGTTACATCTTTGGGGAAAACGAACATGATATTCAGATTCACAAGATAAAAATACTCTAGAATTCACCTCTAACTTGTTTTTGTTTTTTTCAAGAACCTCTTCAGCTCCTCTTTAAATGTGCAAGATGTAGGCTGTATCAGCATTTACGACAAAGAAGGAATGGCAGAGCAGTCTTTTTATTGCATTGCAGCATTGTAATGGGTGTCAGACATAGCCTTTGTGTTCTGTACATCAGCTTTCTATCGTAATCCGTGCCCCTTCTTGTAGAAGCAACGGCTGGCACATCAAAGCAAATTTGCTGCCGTGGTTATCTTTCTCATTCTATTCGTTGGCGGGAATATTAAAACTAACTCCTGCTTGCACATACAGTTTTTTTGTTTTTTTTTCGAGCTTTACAGATTTCTTTAAAAAGAGCCATGAAAGCAACACTTATGCGGTTTGTGGAGGTTAGTTGTACGGCCAACGAGACATAATATAGAGGGCTAATCGTAACAACCAATCGGTTAATTAAGTATAATTTGTTCATTAACTTTTTAATCAGTGAAAATTGAAAGATGTTTCCAATTAGAAACTTGTTGAGCGTCATCAAAAGCCATTAAATCAACTCTTTTGAAAAAGATATATGGCAGGACCAGCATTTTACAATTTTCAGAAAAAACGCCCTGTTTGGACGGGTTTCTAGGTTTCGGCTTCTATCGGAGCACATCTTTGCGCCCGCAGTCCTGCTCCCCGGTGGTCGCGACGCAAAGCCACCGCCTCGCCTCTCTCGTATGGATGGGGGGAAGTATGGCGCACGAGTGTTGCGCACCTCTGCCACTGGGGAGCAGGGCTGTGGGCGCAGAGATGCGCTCAGGTAAGAAACCGAAACTTACAAACGCGTCCAAATGGAGCCTTTTTACGGAACACCATAGAATGCTACCCCTGCCTTGTATCTTTCTAAAAATAGTTGATTTAGTGGTTTTCGATGACGCTCAGCAAGTCTAATTAAAACGAAATGTCTATTTATCGCTAATTAAAAAGCTAATTAACAAATTTTACTTTATTAGCCGACAAACAAATCTGTAAAGCTTAAAAAAGAAAAACGTGTATATTATAATCACGATGCAGATATGTGGTCTTATCAATGCAGTTTCACTGTGCCTTAAAACAGAAAAAACTGACTTATAAAAAGGTACAACTTATATGGCTAGTTTTTTTGTGAAAACGGCTGTTTATACGGGGATGCGACTTATAGTCTGGAAAATACATTGTAGTATATGTCGAGACCAGTTGTAACAAAGTCAATGGGAATCGAAAATTACTTCTCTTTATCCGCTTCTTCGTTCATCTGGACTCGTGAAAGTAACAAGGAAAAAAATGAATAATAAAAAAAATAAATAAATGACACGCGTCGTTATGGGCACATGTTTATCGTGCCTGCAGAAAGTGATTGAGGCTTCCCTGCATGCGCTCTCTGCTAGTTTGGAGTCGCTGCTTGCCAACTGTGAGAAGCTCCGATCGAGAAAAGATCCTGCGATCTACGAGCGGATTGTGTCTACACTTGCAATGGCCACCGCGGAGGACGTTGGCGGTGGATGGCATTCTTTACATTTATACTAACTTCATCGATGATGGCACGCTGTGTGTTTTAAGGAGATTGCCTTCGTCTTCCCCGTCGAGGTGCCGGCGGTGCCGGGACTCTTTGACTCTTTGTTGTTGAGTGGTGATGATTCGCCGAATTGGTGCTTGAGCGAAGTCAGATTTCCATGCAAGAGCGACCACACCGACCAGCAACGCCATCACGGAACACGAAGCAAACAAAGAAGCGCGCACAGCACCGATTTCACAATCAAGCTCGTTTTTCGTTGGTATAGAGAGCCTAGATTTAAAGGGCAACTCCGCTTCATTTTTGATATTTAGAAAACTATGTAGCCCTCTTCAGTTTCATATAGGAAGACCCAATGTCAAATATTACGATCTAATTCCATCTATATATTTAATAAACTGGCCAGCAAACCTTTAAGTGAGCCAAGTCGCCGAACTCTGCCAGCTCTAGCGTGCGACGTGGTGCGCAATCGTTAGCGCAGTCAATGCGACGGAGTTGGAGCGGTCAACGTTGAACCACTACGTCAGAGGCATGGCTACGTCATTCTCACGTTTCGTTTGTTTTTACTTCTCAGAGCGAAATTGAACGGTGACGTCATGAGTTTCTCCTTTCGGTGTTGGCTTAACAACGTCCACGTGATCACCGTAACGCGGATGCGCTAGTTTGCGCTGCCCTGCGCGCTTATCGGTCTGTTTCTCCGCTCCCCCTCTCCTCTTTCGTCTTCTCCCTTCCCCTCTCCCCCGGACCATCACTGTCCACGCCATGCGAAGCCACCTGCCCGCGTCGCGTGTCCTGTCCCTCGCCCCCACGAACGTCGCAAGACCACGTGGTTCGACGTGACGTGGCCATGACTCTGACGGCACGAGACCAATGTTGCCTGACGCAAACGAAGTTTCGGTTTAGGTATCAGCTGATGTTTAAATTAAGATTCGCGAATCCGAGGACGTAGAGCTGTTTAGTGGTGCTCTGTGAAATGGAATCACATGTAAGCCTACATTTTTCGGAATTGAGCGGAGTTGCCCTTTAAGGGAGGGGGAAACTGCTCGATCAGGGTCATGTGGTTTGTGGGTCGCATTTGCAAAATTGGCTGCAGCATGCAAGCAGTCAAAACTCGGAAGCATTCACCTTCTGCAAACTTGTCCGCCTCTCCGCCCAGTTTCCTCGCCACACTGGCCACGCGACAACCAAATGCAGGTGTACTTGCACCAATCTGCCCAGGAGGCGTCTGCCATTAAATTGCAAATGCTCAATGGTTGGAGTTGCTCCCTCTCTTAAATCTAGGCTCTCTCCGTCATCTCTGCCAGTACGTTGTCGCTGGCGCTCTGAATGCCCCATCAGCATACCACAACCGGTTCTCCGCATGCAATGCGAAAAAGCCGCTTCCCAGATGAGGAGGGAGCGGACAACGATGCAGAGGCTGCCGCCGCGGCCTTTGCAGCATTGTCTGCGGCCCGTTCTGGATGGCTGCTTGGCCGCGGCAGCAAAGTGTGATGGTCTGAGATTTAGTCAACGTTCGGAATTTTATTATTTTTTTAAATTATCACAAAATTTATCTTTGCTATATCCATGAGAACCACTCAATTTCCTTTGCTAAAAAGAGACACAAATGCATTGAAAAAGTGCACACGGGAATGGGAAATCGTTATTGCTTTGCTGTAGCCGCTATTTCGTTATAACCGACTTTGTTATAACCGGTCTCGACAGTATGTGCAATGCTGCCAAAGGAACAAACACAATGTAAAGCTCACGGAGATAAAACAATGTAAAGCTCACGGAGATAAAATTCTTGACCTATGTGCAAAAACGTTGCATGCTTCTAAGATCCTTGGCTCAGCAATAAGAATGTTGGGAATGATCACTCTGTTATCGCATTTTTTTACTTCACCATTATCTGTGGTGCGTCTTCTGCAGCCTCGTACCTTTGGGACTTGAATTTGGTTCAATTAGTCTGAACTCGCTGTCTTTAGCTCAACTTTAAATTATTTTAAATGTGCAGAAGAAATTAATTTGAATTATTTATGACTGACACAATTCGTTGCTATCGTTATTTAGTTTTGAGAGGCTATCAATGAGAAAGGCTATTGGAGAGATTCATTTTCTTTATGAGGTAGTGCAGGGTACTGTTAAAACTGAGAGTTTACTTGTGAGTATAGACTTTCATGTGCCCACAAGTCCTATTCTTCAATTTTTTACTTTGTACCCCAATAGAATTTGTGCATTGTCACCTCATCTCTTATGCAGTCTGCATTTAATAACATGAGCAATTGTGAATGACTTTTTTTTTATTCAATTTAAATTAGCCTTGCAGGAGTGTATATTATCAGACTTGGAGTTTGCGCAGTAGCTGTATTTGCTTTGCAAACTTGTATTTGTGGTATTTGTGTATGTCCACATGTTTTTGTGGAACATGTGTCATTTTGTGCTTATGGAAACACTGTTTAAAATAAGTGTTTCTGTAAACACAAACTGACAGTGCACCACACAAAAGCCCTCATAGCTGTTTGTGGGCACCAAGGAAAAATATAACATTATTATTATCATTGTTATTTTTAGTATTTTAGTTTACATCTTAAAACTTCTGTGCAGTGTTGTGGAAGGCACGAGTGCAAACTTGTGGCTTTAGAAAATGCTTTGATTGTGCCAGTGCTTGTGTAAGCAAAACCTCTTGAAGGGCTATGCTCTTTATGTTGGTTAGCATTGATCCCTTAAGTGATGACGTCACAACACGGCGCTGTGCTCCAAACCAACTGTTGCCAGGGCCATTGTTATCGACAAATGCACGGGTGCTCGACGTGAGGTGAGAAATTGTCTGATAAAAATTTTGAATAATTTTTGTAAGCGTTTTGTCTTCTTCATATCTACTCATGAAGACTTTTCTATCGTTTCAGTACCCATAAAGCAATGATAAAAGCATGTAATAAAGTTTCACAAAGTTTCGCCTTGCTAGCATTCGACACAATGACTTTGCAGGTTCAGTGCATTCTCCTTGAGGGAGCAGGCGACTGCGTTAAATTAAGTTGGTGACGAGCGACGAAACTTCTATTCTTGGGGTCAACTTCCTGTGGGATTTTGGAAGCAAAGAGTGCCCGTGCGCAGCTTTGATCGACGCTCAAGGTGCGTGAGCGTGCGAACGCCTGCCCATGGAGGCTTCCGCAATGTTTGAGAAGGGTGAAAACACTGTGAAGCCGAATTACGTACGACGACGACGTAAAGTGTTTCAACGTCAAAGTCCAGGACAACACAAGTTTCAAGGAGTTCTGACAGCACAGAAGTTACTGCAGTGCATATATGTGTGACCAAATGAGCTGTCCATAACAAATATATAACTTACCTGATGTTTTTATCCAGCTCTTTCGCTATTTTGGGTCTTACAAAAAAATGGAATAATCGGCAGGATTTTTTTTCGGTGTGATGGTTACAAACAGGTACGATACAAACATCCATCTTGCGAGCCTAAAAATCTAGGTTTGGAGTCTCGAACCGACTTGTTATAATAAAAAAAATTGCTACTTCATTACATGCACATCAACTGCAAAATATAAGAGAGGGCCTGACGCTGCTTTAATATCATGTTCTAAACACTTCTCTCGCTGTATTTGAGCAGATCTTCATATGTGATGATTTTCGACACAAAGTACTTTGTATCGCACGCTAGTACATGCAATTTGTTTTTGTAAACGTCATGAGTTTTCTTAGACCTGCCATGTACCCAATAAATACAAGATCAAAATCGTATCATTCTGCAAACGATTCAAGCTGTAGCAGACGGCATACTTCAGTCATTCTGTACGCTTTTCTCGTCTGCAACAGGCACCTCGAGACATACCGTATCTAGGACCGTAGGTTGCCGTTGCAAATATTTCAGAAACGGCCGATTCTCGGCAAACTTTTGTCATAAGTGGGAAATTTAGGCTTCCTATGTATATTCTTTTTAGACATTATAAATTCCACAGTGGTTCAAAATGAAATCCAGTGCCCTTTTATTTGTCCATAGCAACGCCCCTGGCAGCGGTTTGTGTTGAGCAGCGACGGCACATTTATGCTTTATAACAGCTCTGCGTTTTGCTTTTGGCTCTTTATAAAGGTTCCTGCCACCGTTGGCGAAACAGGCCCTCGAACGTGAGCTCCAAAATGCGGGACTTGACGTCAAGACAATGCCGGTGCCCAAAGCGTTAGTGAGGTGTGAGGTCAAGGATGGGATGGTGGTCATTGGTGACACCAAGATGGACGTCTACAAGGCAGGCGACAGCCAAGTGAAAGTTCCCGACACCCTTTTCTACGACAACCAACAGGTAATTAATACATCTCATCACTTGAAATAAGATACTCCTTTAAAAAACAATTCTAACAATAATAAAAAAAAAAGACAGTTTTACACTAGTCATTTGTGATGACGATGAATGACAATAGATCTTTCGTTTATATGTTAGGTACAATATTTTCTGGTTTATAAGTTTTCATAAAAAAGTTATTATGTAAGTCACACTTATATATAGGGTGACCAAAGTCACCAGGCTTGATCTAAAATGGACCGTAAAAATTGACATTTGTACGTAGCACTCTAAACTTTTAGTCGAAGGTGTATTTCATAGGTCGGTTTTTTCTTGTAAAATTACAAAGTGTAGCTCTTTTTCTGCAAAAAAATAGGGCCAAGAAACTTCCCAGGGTCCACGGCGGGCGGCGATGCAGGCAACCAAGTCGAGTAGCGCGGTGTGTTTGGAGTTTGTATTGGTAGATGGCGTTGGGAGCAGCGTCCGAAGCTGTAGCCGACCAGTGAAGGAAAGCAGACGACACGCAGACAAAATCCGTTGGCAACAAAAGTGCCGTCGTTATGCAGACACATTTTTTAACTTTAAGTTTTGCTTTTATTGTCGGCATTTATTATTTAACCAAAGATATGTTTCAAAAAGATTATGTTCATTCTAATAAACCATGGTGGTCGCTTGCCGTCATGATGAGGTAGCGCCGCCGCCATCTATCAATGCGAATGTCAAACACCCTGCTACTGGACTTGGTTGTCTGCTTCGCTGCCCGCCATAGACCCTGGGAAGTTTCTTGGCCCTATTTTTACAGAAAGAGAAGTACGCTTTGTAATTTTACAAGAAAAAACCAACCTTTGAAATACACCCGTGACGAAAAGTTTACATTGCTACGTGCAGGCGTCGATTTTTGCGATCTATTTTAGACTTGGGCCACCCCATATATTTGTATGGTCGGCGCGGCAAGACTGCGTTGATAAGCCTGCATATGTGTATTCTGATCACAGTATAGTATGCACAAGCAGGAGCCAGTTTCAGGAATGTTGTCGGCAAATCGAACAGGATATATAACCCCTGCGACAAATTTGCAGAAAGTCCATACTTGAAGGAAAAAGCGCATATACTAAGTTACGTAAGACGCACCGACAGACATTTTGTAAAGAAAATGTGACTTGTACATTCGGTAAATATGGTAATCCTTTACTGCTGGTGAAAACATACTATGTAGCAAGAATAAAAATATTAAGTTTTGATACTTTGATGATGCTAGCATCAGTATTCTTGGAACCAATGCTGGCCTCCTTCTATTTTGGCACAGCATGCTGTAGTCTTGGAGGCCATGCTGCAAGATTTTCTGTTGGGGGAACACTTGCTCCTGGTGGGCAATCAGGGTGTTGGCAAGAACAAGATAGTCGACCGTTTTCTCTTCCTGCTCAACTGGCCCAGGGAATATGTGCAACTCCACAGGTAGCCTTCCTCTTCCGATTAAAATAGGAAGGACAAACTGGACTGCAGCAAACATCCTTTACTCGGCTTTAATTCTCTGGCAAAAGCTTTTTTCTTAGCAAAGTGATTTTACATATATTGACCTAGATTGAATATTCATATACTCTGTAAACAGCTTTATTTCTGCTGGCTCAGTATTTTGCAAAGTTAGCAAACCGGGGGTTTCGGGAATATCTTTTGGGGACCACGGGGTGATATATTATAGCGTGATCAATTTTTCGTTATTTTTCAAATAGTGAAATTCACAAAATTTAAGTTTCCAGTAATCTTAAAATTTGAGCATAATCCCTTTGAACATGGCATAATTCTTTTGGAAAGATCAGATGTGTCTTGAACTCTAGCCTGGCAGTGGTATTTGACAAGATTATTAAAGCCTGATGTCAATTGGTTCAGTTCTTTTCTTCTTATTTTTGCCAGGCCTAGAGTCTACCAGTATGGTTAGTGTAATGAGTTGTACTAACTGCGAAATTGTGCTATGTTTTTTTTTCAGAGACACATCAGTGCAGTCACTCACACTACAACCCACTGTGAAAGGTGGTGTGATTGTGTATGAAGACTCGCCATTGGTACCTATCTCCGGTTTTCTCCCCTTTCTCGTGATATGTCTGAAAAATTTAGCTCTCCATAGAAAACGGACACTCAGCGATGACTGGTCTCAGTCATCTCTGAGTTTTTTGGCACCTACTCTACTACCCATAGGCCCAAAAGCTAACCGCTGCTTTCTTCAACAGTGTTTCTTGCAGTCTTTTGTACAAGGGCTGATTGGGAAGTAATAAGATTGCTGAGCAGAACGTAAGGGCACAAGTGAGCTGGTGTATATTAAACATTTTAGTGAAAAACCCGAGACTGCGGTAATGACAGAGGACGACAAGGAAGAGAAGGAGAACGTCTCAAACACAGCTAAACCTTTATTGTGGAAAGAACCCTTATATAGGGTTGAAAAAAGAAGGAAGGAAAGGGAAGCCTTCTTCACATCACCTCTCTCCACAAGACACGACAGCTTTAACAATGGGGTCAAACCAACAAAAGAACTGACAGCACCAAAGATAACACATCATTAAAAAAAAAACAAAAAACGCTGGGAAAATTACAGATTGCACTGGACCTTTCACTGAGAAAGCCAGCTATAAGACTACACACACACACACAAAAAAAAAAAAAAAGGAAATAAAGTTAACACTACCACTTGAGATTTAGAAATCGCTTCCATTCCACATCTAAGGACAAAGAAGGCTTGTTCACTCCATTTCCATGCTTCGTTATTGCGATTGACTCTTTCAATCGGGCGCTTGTGGTCGTTTTTTTCTGTTACAATTGTGGTTGTCGAGTTCCATAAAGGCACGCAATTCCTAAACTCCTGAATATGCTTGGATACCTCGGAATATGGATTCTTGTTTTTGACACATCGTTTATGTTCGGCTAGTCTATCATTAAGATAACGCTTTGTTTGATTGCTATTCTTTCTCTTTGCAAGGAGGTAGGTGGACAGTGTTGTGCTGATGTTTGTGAAGGTTATCCACATGTCTAAACCTCCAGGTGGACTGTCAAACTCTTTAGCTTTCTGTCATAGCGAGCAAAGGTGTCTCGTATGTGTCGTTATGGCGGATGACGAAGATGTGCTGAGAGTATGCGAGAGTATGGTAGAGCTGTGCGATTCAATTTTATGTCTACATCTAAAGAGTAGTAACTGCACTGTAACACTTTTCATTTCACCCAAACTTATCGCTGCATGACTTCTGGGCACTTTTTACTCCGGAAGAACAAAAAAGACCGCACAAAAGGAAGTTCTATTTATACAATGAAAATCAGATGAAGGGAAAAAAAGTTGCGGCTGCAACGCTGAAAGTGGTGTTCCAAAGCATTTTTTTACATTTTTTAAATTGATTTTGAAACATTCTAAACCAACATATTGAACTCCAAGGATGCTACTCTGAATGGGAAGAATGATCAGAGCCTGTAGTCATCCAATTCTGAAATTTAAACAATCAATCTCATTACTTTTCAGTTGGCCCTCATTTTAAGAGTCACACAACATGAATCGCTTGATTTGAAATTGAAGGGCTGGTGTCGGAGTGTATTCCTCAAGAATGAAATGTTAGTACAAGATCACCTCTGTGCCAAAGACCTGCAATATTTTTTTAAAATTTCATTTCACCCGTTAATTTAATTGGTATGCAAGTTAGGTCAATGGCACTGGTTCTAAAAGAATAAATAAAAGATTTGTCCCTTTAGTATCTAAGTGCATATACTATATTAAAAAAATAACTTGTTGGCGTAAGCACCGCTGCACCGTGCATTTATGCTTTTGTGAGCTTGTACTAATCTAAAAGTGCTTATGTGCCAAAGCAACTTTTATTATTCTACACATTATTATTGCTCTCCAGCCACATTCCTGCTGTTGATTCACATGTAGTTGAATCTCGGTGATATGGGCTACTGTATGTCAGTTTTCTGCACTGATACATTGGTGCCTGAAAGCATTATCCACAAGACAAAACATTTGCATCACCAGGACACTTAATAAGGAGGGAGACACACTGCTTTGTTTGCTCTAGGTGAAAGCTGTCCAAAACGGTCACATTCTGGTAGTAGATGAAGCTGACAAGGCTCCGACACACGTCACGTGCATCCTGAAGGCCCTCGTAGAATCGGGGGAGATGTTGCTGGCAGATGGACGCAGGATCGTCCACTACGCAGGTGGGACTATCAGATCAAAGGGTCTTTTTAGGACAACATGTCGACAATGGCTTCTTCTCTTTTACGTTCTAGATAGGGCCAAAGCCAAGCCCAATTCGGTGGTGATGCATCCCAACTTCCGGATGATTGTGCTTGCCAACCGCCCTGGATTTCCCTTTTTGGGCAACGACTTCTTTGGGTCGCTCGGTGAGGACTTAATATTATTCTTTGGGCCTACCGTAACATCCTGAGAGGTGCCCCATCTCAAAAAGATAGCCCACCCTGGTGTTAAACATAATTTTCGATTTTTGGAGAAACGCTTAAAAATTGCACCATATCGTGACGTCGGCTTACAAGCAAACAATGGGGACTGGAAATGGTTCAGTCGTTAGAGACATCACGAGTTAAAATCTAACCTATGCTTGTTCGGAAGCTCATTGACCTGCTGGTGGCATGTGTGGACGGCAACAGCTTTATTTTAAGCACACTTGGTCAAGATCAAGCGGTTGCTTTGTGTTTTGACTACGTGGCTGCAATATATTTCTGTTGTGACCATTTTAACGCCACAAACTTGACACTTTATGGACGGAATCGATGCAGCACATTTCTGCTTATCTCAGTGTTCAATGACGCAGATGCTTGAGCTGTTTGTGCTGCCTTGCACTCTGGGATGAGCGAAAGCGAGCATCAAGTGCTGAAGAAGGGGCAGAAATTTTAGGCTCTCCTAAAGAGCTCCTCTGCATATGATTCTTTCTTATTTCTTTTTCCCGATGGATAGAGTGCAATGGCAAAGGTGATGGAAGCAGTACATGTTGCAACATATTGGGATGTACACTCTCCGGCAATATGAAAGAACCACTGGGAGCGCGTGGCCGAGGCATTGGCTGGCGGGGGCGCTGCGAGCGCTCCGGGCAATTCCATTCTGCTTCGAGGAAAGGATGCTCACTCGGGCTCAGCTAAAGCGAAACGCGCTTATCAGATTGTGCTGAGCCCCGAGTGAGCGTCCTCCCCTCGAAGCAGAATGGAATTTCCCAGAGCGCTCGCAGCGCCCCCGCCAGCCACCGCCTCGGCCACGCGCTCCCAGTGGGTCTTTCATATTGCCGGAGACTGTACTTGACTGCAGCAGTTACACATGCTCTTAACTATTCACGTCTCCAGCTCGACACTCGCCCTCCTGTGACGGAAACAGGAAGTGCTCTAGTGAGGGTCCCCCGATTCTCCTGCTCAGCGGGCACGGCGGAACTGCTCGCGATCATGGCTCGCGAGATGTCATTTCCGAATGCAAACAACACTCTTCATTGTCCCTAAGTAGTGCTGCAGCCGGTATGGGATTGTACCTTACTGGACAGTTTTAGTATTGTGCATAGAAGCAAACGAAAGCGCTGTGCGTTTGCGTCAGAGTTGCGTGCCCCACGTTATGCGTGCGCCTCATCGCCATGCGCCATCCAGACCGCAATTTTGGGCTCCGTGCACGCGCAGTGTCGAACACGCAAAGCTAACGCAAACACACAGCGCCCGCATTCGCTCGTATACGCTATACTAAAACTCACTACTGTTTCACCGGCTTCCAACGCCAATGAAACGTGCTGCAGTGAGCAGACGTGCAAGCAGGTAGGCGTTCCTTCGGACTGGAAAGGCTGAGATTGGCAAAACGACGGAGCGTAAAAATGAAAGTAACTAAATGTTGTGAAAAGATCAATAATTAAAATAAAGTGTTTTATTTTTTATTTGTATTGTTATTTTTTTGTTTTTTTTTGTTTTTACTTTTGGGCATTTAGTCTGGAAGGATATTCGCGACGACTTTGGACGTTTTCCCCATTGTCAAAGTCGTGACTTTGATAGCAAAATATACTTTACACTCAATTAATGTAATTTTACATGGATTTTTCACATGAGCTAGAATTTTTTTATTAATTTTAGCAGTGTGTCGAACCGAAAAAAATACGGGTTCGGTTACGGTTCAGGTTCAGGTAAATTTATTTTGTTCCAGTTCAGTTCCGGTTCGATTAATTCAATCGCGAACCGGTTCGGGGTGCTGAACCGGTTCGGAAATTATAAATGACAAATTGCAAGTAAAACATCTGAAATCAGCACATACGAAACGGGATGCATCGTAGTGTAAGGCTCAGGGATTTCTACCAGGAATGGTTTCTTTATGTGCACTCAAAGGTTACCTCACCGACGTTTACGCATTCGGACTTCATCTAATTGGGTCCGACGCAGTAGCTGTAAAATCCGCGACCTCCTTACAAACCCACTTACAAGTAGAACTCGCTAACTATCCCGCCATCTCGGCGTGTAAGCAATTGAAGGAACAGTGGGGAGAAAATACAGCTTTCTTTATTTGAACTAGCTAGCCTTCGGTAACTCAAATTAGACCCTTAAAGAAGTTTTCATTAAACAAGATACGGAATATGAAAAACACTTCACCGAACGCAATGCCAGAAGGACGTAATAGGATAAATATTAAAATGGAAGAGTTCGCTGTCTCACAAATATGTTAGCTTCTAAATGCCTATACGAAACCGGATGCATTATTATCAAACTCCACAGCCTTTTCTTTTCTCATTCCGATGGAAGCAAGCTTCAAGAACTCGCGCGTTCTAGAAACGTGTTATGAAATGAGCACACAGAGGCATTTAGGATTTACGAGATTGTAGGAAAATGAAATCCCGTGACGCGATTTTTTTATTTTTTTTTGCACAGCCTTTCAATTCTCTTTCTTCAGTGCAAGCCGCGATCACCGCAATACTGGTTCCTATGTCAAGATTCAGGGATGCAGCGTTTGTCAAGATTCGTGGATGCAGCGTTTATATTCCTAAGACTGAGTGGAGAAGAAAAATATGTAAGCGAGGTGTGTGTCAGTTGACGGCACTTAAAGAACAAATGGCATTGATAGCACATTCATCGTCAACAGCGCATGGCCGAACCGTTTTAACATGAGCCGGTAACCGTTATTTTTTTTCCGGTTCAGTTCCGGTTCGGGTTCATCGCGAAAACAATATAACGGTTCGGGTTCGGGTTCAGTTCCGGAAAAAATACCGGTTCGGTTCCGGTTTTCGGTTCGGTTCGGTTCCGGTTCGACACCCTGGATTTTAGACTATTTTTATTTTATTACTTGGTAATTAAAAATGTTGCAATTGGCACCAGTGATGATAAATAGTACACTTTTGATTGTCATATTTGTTTGCACATTTGAAATTAGATCATAAGTAACAAATTATATTAGAGCTTGAAAAATTACGTACTAAAATATCCAAATTTTAATATCATTATTATTAATACAAATTGGGCAATGTATGCCCCCAACTAACGCCAAGATCCCGAAAATCCGCCATTTCACCATCTTCCCAGAAAGGTATAATTTTGTTTCCTTTTTGGCATATGAAAAACTGACATCGTTATCAAGATAGACAAACAGTCAAACACTGGATGTAATATGAAGTCATATGTGTCACGCGTTGCTATAAAAAACGCACACACACACACACACACACACACACACACACTTCAGCTGTCTGACTCGGATTCCGTCTTTGGGTTGTTAATTATTTATTTATAATTTATATGTTTTGTGGATTTATTTAGATTTATTCTCTTATCCTTGTGCTGGGAATAATGTTAAAGCAACTAATCATCTAAATACCCAAGAACCCACTAAAAGGCCTGCAGTTCATTATTTCCCATAACAATTACCTGAGCGAGAAAAGGCAACGAGAACGCACAAATATCAGCACTGATTTTTTCAACAACTACAAATATCAGCCTGGATCGAACATGTATGTCGCAAAATAATGTTTCTGCAAACAGCTTCTTTAACTAAATAATTACATTGAGAGACACATGAGTTATGAAAGAATCCAAAATTAAGACCTATATCAAGAGATTAAATCCAAAATCGAGGTTAGTTTCGGTTTCGCTCCGGAATTAAAATGCGCATCCTCGCGTAAATATTACGCTCAACGCCATTCTTGTTTTCAGGGTAAAGAGTTGACCTGCGCTCATAACACCCTAGCTTCCTCGTATAACTAGAAATAACTTGTGTAGCTCAGTGAGGCCAGCACACTAGACAGGCTCAACAGCGGCACACGTCTCCGACCCTCACTATAACCGCCATTTTGGAAAATGAGTGGCGCCACCTATACTTAGTTGGAGTCGCAAATACAGCTGTTGCACAAGTGCAGCCTTTTACGCGAGTTTTCGGTGCTGTAATTTTTTTTTTTACTTTTTGGGCTGCAGGCTTAAAGTTAGCCCAGTCCTTTATTTTACCTTATTTGATTGGCATGTGCTAATAGTGGATCTTGAGTTTGATGCAAATAGTAGTTTGAGCCGAATATTTTTTAATAGATTATTGGATTGTTTTTTCAAGTCATTCACTACTGTTGCATTGTGCTTAAAGAAACACTGACACCCCCCAAAACATTTTTTTAATTTTTTTGCCAGGCGATTTGTTATGGTGTCAGAAGACTACCCAATCAATATTTTGCTACAGCATCAGATATATATTTAATAAAGGGGAAAAATGCAACAGCTCGAAACCAAGACCGAAGCTGTACTGGGGAGGAAGAAGAAATATAGAGGAGGAGAAAGTTGCCAGAAGTCACGTGACTGTGCAAGCTTTTTGTTTTCAATTAAAGTCTTTGCAGCTTTTTAGGAGCCACCAAAAATGGGCATCATATTTTTTTTTATATTTTTAATATTGAGTGTGTGCCTTCAATGACCCACGACTTCGATTATATTTGGAGGTTGTGTCCGAACCATAGAGAACAGCAGATCTTAGAGAAGAGAGGAGCCGCCTCGGTGGCTCCGAAACGAGAGCGCTGGCCTACGGATCCCCATGTGGCAGATTCGAATCCTGGCCGAGGTGCCCGTAATCTGACGGAGGCTTATTGCGGAGAATGCGTGTAACCGAGCTTTCGGTTGCACGTCAAAAGATCCCCAGGTGGTCCAAATTAATTCTCAGTCCTCCGCTGGGGCGTCTCAGATGCCCGTCGTTGGTTTGGTACATAAAACTCTCAAATTTGACTTAGAGAAGAGAGTGAGCGCGTCTCAAACCGGCCAGTTCTCGATCGTTGGTTTTCGGGTGGAAAGAAAACAAATTTCTAGCTGCAAATCGTGTTCCGGGTAGTTGGGCTTTATACTTCATGTACAAATAAAAATCTTGGCGAGCATAACTAGCCTGTCAGTGTCTCTTTAAACGAAAAGCCAGCAAAACTTGTGACGGTTATTTCCAAGCTTCTACTTGTCCACTTCTAAGCTAAGTTAATTTTAATCTACCGTACAATACCGTGCATTCACCCATTCCGCGCTAAGCGCCCACCCCCAAAATATGAAACATCTGAAAAAATATGCACAGTACATATGTGTAAAATTGATGACATCACATGCACCCATCCCATTTTTTTTTGGTATTATCTGCAAATTTTGAGTGGGCGCTTGCTCAATATTTTATGGTAACTATATCTATAAACTGTGGTTTCAAAGCCCAATGCCTACTTGGCATGTAGATTACGTATTTGACATGAAAGTAAACATATAGAGATGCAGGCTTTCTCTAATCAAATGATGAACGTTGGTTGTCATGACATCTCTGTCCATGAGTACAGTCGGCAGCAAAAGTTTGCGTGGCACGGGAGCGCCAGCTGAAAAGACTGGCTGCGCCTTCTGACGGCGCATTGCCGCTCTCAAGACTCACACCTTGCGGATGCGCTTCCTTTTGTGTTCGCAGTCATGTTTTCTTTGCTTGCTTCCGTCTGACGCCCACGAGATAACAGAGACGGACACAAGGTGACGCGAAATGTTTCTTGTTGCATGCTAGCTCCGACTCCCATCACGGTGGCTGAGGCAGATGCGCGGCATGATGGCTGACAAAGCGGCACCTTGGGCCGGTCCCGATTATCATGTGCGCGTCGGACGGAAGCTGTTCAAAAAGACAAGCCTGCGAGTATGAAAGGAAGTGCATTCTTGAAGCCTGAATCTTGAGAGCGGCCGCATGCCGTCAAAAGGTGCAACCAGTCTTTTTGGCTGGTGCTCCCGCGCCCCGCAAAATTTTGCTGCCGACTGTACATTGCAGTAAAATTAGAAGGTATTACTGTAGTGCAAAGTAGATATCAATATTTACAAAGTTTTAGTTTCTTTTTAAATATACCAGGCGCGCGCATACACTATCCTGCTTTCAAAATGTGCTTTCCTCCTAAGCACGTGACTGTGATATTTGTAATTTTTTGAGTGTTGATCGCGGCGGGTTAGGCCCGTTGAGCAAGCTTCTTACCGAGCACCTGTGTTCTGCGGAGAAGCAACTCCCGTGGAAGCGAACTCCGTGGCTGTTGCTTCCCCGCAGAACAGAGCTGCTTGATAAGAAGTGCACTCAACGGGGCTAACCTGCCGAAATCAACACTTGAAAAAGAATGAATATCGAATAGTGTCTTATATATTTGCACAATCCTACTATTTGATCTTGATTTGAGGTGGACTATCGTTTTGGATATTAGGATATTTTGTTTGGTCTCTTTTGCATTCTGGTTCATCTTCAGCTGAGTCTAAGTGAGGAGTATGCACAACAACTTCTGAGTGTGACCATGAGACGGGACTGTATGTAATAAAAAAAAAATTAGAATTACAGGATAACATTTTAGCTGCATGCATGCTTGTGAGCAGGACACTAGACACATAATCTAATTAAAAGTAAACATTTTTGACAGAGGTCTGTCTGGTTAGGAAGAAATTGACAGTTTTTGCGGACACTAACCAAAGTTTTATTTAAAAACGCATAAACCCGACGTTTCGGGACCCGCTCGGTCCCTTGGTCACGGGTGACTGTAGGTGGGGGCGCGGTGGGGAAGGTTGCCCAGGTGGTTCTGGGCAACCTTCCCCACCGCGCCCCCACCTACAGTCACCCGTGACCAAGGGACCGAGCGGGTCCCGAAACGTCGGGTTTATGCGTTTTTAAATAAAACTTTGGTTAGTGTCCGCAAAAACTGTCCATAATCTAATTATAGTCGGTTTAACAACATTTAACATTATTATGTCTGTATGCTTTGGTGCCTCTTTGTTTGCTGAAACTTTGAAGCCTATGCTGCAACATAAATAGTTGTATGTGGGGGCCACTCTCTTTTTGCCATTTCACGTGTGTGCATGTGGGCAAATGCACCTCTTGCAGGCAGTTGAGTTTTTTGTGTGAACCAAACCACAAATTTGTCTGTAACTGTGTCCACACTTCTCACACCAAAATTGAAAGATACCGTTCCATCTACTGCACAGATCAATGTATGGTGTTTGCAACTGCTATTATAACAGGTGACATCTTCAGCTGTCATGCTGTTGACAACCCATCTAAGGAGTCGGAGATGGCTCTCCTGAAGCAGTATGGCCCCTCTGTGCCAACTGCGATGCTGGAGAAATTGGTGGCCGTGTTTGGAGACTTGAGGCATCTCTCGGACGAGGGCCTCATTGCGTATCCCTTCTCGACACGTGAAGTTGTCAACATTGTGAAGCACCTGGAGGTACGTACCAGTATGCCTACCAGTAGTGTTGTACGGAACGGCGTTCCGGGAACGCATTCCTTTTAGGAGGAAGGAAGGAATGCTGCCATTCTATTTTGCATCGGTGGTACTGGAACGGGAACTCATTGCATTTTTACTGGAACGGAAAAAGGAACGGCGTTCCTTTTTTTTCGTCCAGTGGGGTAATTTTTATTTATTTCTAAGAGGGAAATTGCAAAAGTATAAAAACAACATATTTATGAAGAGCAGGATCTTGTTAACTGTTTGGTTACTTATCTTAGGTATTATTTTGTGTGGTCCTCACTTGGTAACAGTCGGGTGCAGGAGAGCTAGTGGACATTGATTCTTTTCTTAGTGCCCGAGGCTGCAATACAAAAAGCAAAACTTTTAGTCATGGGAAAAAGCAAAGAAAGAGGGATGTTTCAAACTCAGTTCCTTTTTGTGCTTCCACGAATCCTCATACACCCAGAAATATTAGGCCAACCACAACAATCACTGAACTTCCACAAAGAGACCTACAGTTACAACAAAAGAACAGGTTACCAGACATTGAATGCACCCTTGTATCCCGAACACTGGTCACTTAAAAGATAGACAAAAGTTAACCTTTATTGAATGCACCCTTGTATCCCGAACACTGGTCACTTAAAAGATAGACAAAAGTTAACCTTTATTCCTTCTCCCCTTGTCCCCCACCTTCAAACGGAGCAACGAATTCAACCTTCACATAGAAGGACTGGTAGTTTTTAAGACTGACCTTCCAAAAGCCCTACCCTCTTCTTCATTTGCTTGTCTTGCGGACAGCAACATCAAGAAGCAACTGTTGTTAAGTTCGAAGAAGAGACTTTGTTAGATTGAAACGTGTGAGGATGTTGTAAAACGCTCGTGCAATGTGGGGTAACAGTACATTTGGCTCGTCTGAATCGCCCACATCGAACATGAATAGGGCTAAAAGGTGAGATTTCTAAAGGTGAATATATCAACAAATTCAGCCCTGCTTCCGCTTGTTTTCTTCTCCTGGTGCTCTTCCACCACGGTATTCAAATTCGTATGTTGCCATTTAATAGGATAGATAAAAAAATCATGAGCCATTCCACTGTGTGAAGGTGGATGACCAGCGAAGCTGTTTAGCACATGACACAGACCCGCCCCTAGGAGCCAGAGGAAACTAGACTCGTGCGACGGGACTGCCACCCGGCGGAAAGTAGACACGTGTGGCAAGACCGAAGCCCCGGGAGAGCGGAAGGAAAGGAAATTAGGCACGCAAACGGGGGGGGGGGGGGGGCTTGGAACGACGACAAAGAGATGGCGGTGTGGGCATAGACATGGCCGACACGGGTCGCAGAGAGAAACCTTTATTATCTACCTGAGAGTCTACTGATCTTGAAAATGGTACCTATTGATAACTATAATCAACTAAATAGACCTATTGCTAAATTACCCAAGCATCGAGGAGAATGTAGGGTATGGTGTTCCACGCGCCGCAGTGCCGGTGTCTGCAGCAGTAACTGTTCTAAAGCAGAAGCCTAAAACAAATGGCATCTTACTTGCGCGTTCGTCAATGCTTTATTTTGGTTATTTATTTAGAATCTTTTACACAGGGGAGGCGTGGGCATGCGGCGGTGCGAGTGTAGAGTTTTTGGTCACGCACACGAAAAATCTGCAGAACCCTAGCCATAAACAGCTTTGCTGTAAAAAAGAAAAAAAAAAATTTCTGCTTGATTTTATTATTGCAATTAGCAAAATACAAATGTAACGTATATGTAACGATACGTTCCATTTTTCTAACTGTAACGGAAGTGCATTCTTTTTTCACATATGGAACTTGTAACGGGAACGCATTCCAAAAATCGGAAGGAATGAGGAACAATCTCTCGTTCCTTTTTTGAGGAACGTGCACAACACTACCTACCAGTGGCGTCTTTGTTATGTGAAAATTACAGGCCAAGTTTCATTAGGTTAATGCAAAATATTTTTTGCCAAAGAGCTGTTATTGTGGCAAGCAAAACCGACTGCACGGGACCTCAAACTGGGTTCGCAAGAACCTTGGCATTTCTTCATGCACCTGAACAGACTCAATTATTCCTATATGCCACTTATTGATGCATTATTTGGTATGAGCCAGACAATTCCAGCTTTCTCCAAAGTGTGTGTGCCGTTGACATGCCTGTGAACTGCTCAGGAATGTCAAGAGCAGTTCCCCGGCTCGCTTTCAAGCTAGCTGTGTGATCCTCATGCTAATTAAAAGGTTTGAAAACTTGTGATGTAGAGTTTGGATTCCAAAGTAGTGTGCCCATACAATTTCAAAATGCATGAAAGATGTGTGCTGTATGGGCTTGGTTTTGTATCATTTCATCTGGCCGTAAAATCCAGTAAGAACGCTCACCCAAATTGCAGACATAAATGGTGAAAAACATAAGGTAAGCTATCTTTGAAGATGCAACACCAAAACTTTGTTAAAGAAAAATTATAGTGATAAACATTGGAGCACCTGCTACAAACGTGACACAGGAACTGATACCGCAAATCGCGGACATGGCAGATTCGTGGTCCACGATGTGAAAAACACGTAGGAATCTGCTACAAACTCCTGTGTCACAGGAAAGGAAACCGCAGACTGCGGACGTAGCAGGTTCGCGTTTCACGGTGCGAAGAACGCGTGAGAACCCGCCGCGTGCTCGCATCTCATGGGAACAAATACTGCGGATCACGGATGCAGCAGATTCGAGTTTTATGATGCAATAAACACGCGGAAACTCCCTACAAGCTTACCTGTCATGGGAATCGATATTGCGCGCGCATATCGCAGACAAAAAGGCGGGAACCCGCTATAATTGTGCATATCTCGGGAACGGATACCACAGATTGCAGACGGAGTAGATTCGCATTTTACGTTGCAATATACGTGGGGAGAACTCGCGTGTCACGGGATTTGATATTGCGTGCGCAGAAAAAAAATGTGGGGACCCGCTATGAACTTGCTTGTCACACAACTGGTACCACAGATCACACGATTGGTGTGATTCTCGTTGGACTTCGCATAATGTCCGACGGAAATCGGGAAGAGGGGGGGGGGGGGGGGGGGGGGGCGATGCTTCAGAATTTTTATGTTATGGATATTTAGTCAGAAAAACAGGCAGGACGATCTGTCTGGGGAGGGGCATCCTTTTTTACGGTATGTTTGATGGTATAATATTTTTTCCATAATTGCTATTGCAATCTTTATGATTATTAATATTCACTGCTTCAGTTGTTTGCATATTTCATTCACTCTCCTTCATATGTACAGAACCAAGGACTTCTAAGTAAGATGTAATTTCTTGGTGCATATTTTCAGGTGTCTTTTAGCTTTGGCATTTTTATGCTTGACAAAGCTCTGTGACAGTCGGAGACTCTCACAAAACAAATCCGGAAAGCAAGTCGTCTGCTTCTTGCGCAAGAGTTGCGGTGATGTCAGAGACACGCCGAGCTCCGATTGGCTCTGACTGAAGGATAGTGGGTTGACCTCAAAGCAAACTGCCTTGAGGTCTACCCACTATCTTTCATTCAAAACCAATCAGAGCTCGGCTTTCTGTTGTCACCACGACCCCTGCAAAAGAAGCAGACAAACTTGCGTTGCGCGTTGCATCGGTGCTCACTTTCAGCTAAAATAACTGCTCCATATGTTCAGAAAAGCTTTAGGCACAATTATGCCAGGTCGTCAATGCTGGACCTTTGGTATTTATTTTAAGGCTGCCATGTTTGTGAAATGAGGCTTACTAAAAGGGCTTAGGCTCATCCACAACCGTTGCAGATATAACTACCGTAAAATCCCGAGAGATGGCCCACCTAACATCAAGAGCAAATCGGGTGAAAATATTGAGGGGGCTAACTTTTGGTGTACCATCAAGAAAAGTTTAAAAAATTCTTTTAAGCTTGTTATGGTGGCAAGGGGCAACGAAGCAAAGAAGACTGTACTTCCCAGTCAGGAACGTTTGCTTATATCCCGCCATAGCTAACTAGCCGCATTTACGTCGAGGCTATCATTGATATCCCAACACTACTATTATTAGGAGTGGCTATCTTTTGGTGTTTGAGAAAGTATAGCAAATCAAGCCAAAAATATGGGTGGGCTATCTTTCGCGGGTGGGGCATCTCTCGGGATTTTACAATAGTACTGGCAAATATGCCCACATTCCTACCTGAGCATGAAGCTGTACATATATTACATTCTGCTTTCTTCTTTTCTGCATGGCTTGGGTTTTTTTTTTTTTTTAGTCTTTTCCAGATGATGGAATTGCCTCTGTCTTGAGGAATGTCTTTGACTTTGACTCTTACAACAAGGAGATCAGGAAGACTCTACTCTCAGTGCTTCACAAGCACGGAATTCCTGTGGATGCTGACCCAGAAGATGTCCACCTCTCAAAAGTGTAACTACGATACTACTTCCTTTTTTTTGTTAAACTTTATTTATGAGCAGAATGTCTTGCGCATTGTTATGTAGTCCATATTTTCTCTTTGCTGTCTACCATGGTTGAGTGTGACTTCTTTGCACACTTTAGATTTAAGCTGCCATCTTCTACATGGGTTAGCAAATGGTCATTTGATAGAGCAGATGCTTTGGGGCTGGAAGACTCCTGTTCTGTTGACATCCAGGACTTGCATGTAGAGGTAGGTATTCATGTCCCGGCTTCTGGGTTGCTACATTTTAATCTTTTGAATTTTTGGTTACTCTAAATTTAACACCTTGCTGTTTTCTTTTACTCCAACAGCGACCGACAACTCTTGCAAAACAATCCGCTGATTTAGAGAAAACGGAAGCACGGTCCATGTTCTTTTCTGAGCTTCAGCATTACTGGTCACTGCCCTATGGTGCCAGCACTACTACTTTAGACCTGGCTGTCTCTAAGAGTGAAGGTAGGATTCCTGAAAACGTTTCTTTGGCACGTTTTTTCTTTTCTTTTTCAGTTGTTTAATAATTAATTCATTTGTACTAAAGTAAAATCAAAATTAGCCTCGTATTAATCGAGCAGTTTGAAAATTGAGACTCGAGCAAATGATACAAGGTTCAGAAACAAAGCGACATGGACACAATTTGTACCTTTGAACCCCTATCCCCTTGGCCTAAGTGTCGGGTTTTGAGAGGTGTTCGATTAACACCAGCCCTTCTCCTTTCTTGATCTTATGCCTAAGTCTCGTGCATTATTTTGTCATTCCAGACGGCAGTGCAATGAATGATACCATTCACATTGCTGCCAAATTCCCCCTCGGACTGTACAGTTTCAGTCCGCGGCACTTGAAGTCGAGTTACCTGCTGTTGCAGCAGAGCTTTCCGTCTGGCTACACGTCGGAGACTTTCAGGCTTGCGGCACTAGGCGGCAGCTTACAAGGCTGTCTCGTTCTTCATGAATCTTTGGTGAGCTTCTACTTTTCTTTAAATATGCGTTTAGTTTTGCAAATGGGATCGATTGCACAGCGAACATGTATAACCTAGTCAAACAATTGGAGCGTTAGCATGAGTGCTACGAAAGAGTTGTAAAATTGGAGCATGTAAGGAAGCCACGTCTAAACTTTTTATATCATAATTTTGCTAGTATAGTGCAGCAATCTCAGCCTTTTTGCTCTATACTGCTGCATGGAAGAGCAGATGCACAAAGGAGGGCTCGCTCAATCTTCAGTTGCTCTGATGTGTTTTTTCTTCATCATACCGTATTAGTCGAGTAATAGCCGCACTGTTTATGAAGAAAACCTGAGGGTTCGCTTTCCCGCGGAGCACGCAGATTGCCAGTCACCGCATTCAACAGCATGATTCCAGCTGCTTACAAACAGAAATAACATCTTCATGCAAAGATACCATCTGTGAACATTGCATTTGTATAGAGAATCATGTTCTCGATCTGGTTATCCGCTATGTTATTTATGCGCAACGCAATGATTGACTGTATATGTGTTTTTTTGTAAAAGTAGACGCAAGGGTCTTCTTCATAAAATGTGTGGCTATTACTCAAGTAAATACGGTACTACTTGTAACTTTATCCAACATTTGTTTTCCTTCCACGATTCATTATCCAATTTTTTGCTAACATATCCTTATTTTACCATTACTGTATTTGTGTTTATTTATTATTTTCTTGCTGAGTAATATTTTTTGATGACTCAAAAACTGTTTGTGTACTCTGAAAATAAATCTCTAATGTTAGTAGTATTCTCACGATTCTTGTTGTACATGGTACTGTAGTGAAGTTTCAAGCAGCTTAGCAGGCAAAGTGTTTGGGAGGTTGTTTGTGTGGGGCGCTTCTGTAATCCCATTATGCAGGAGCCAGGGAAATGTAATCCAACACTTTTCCTCCAGCAAGGCCCCTTGGATGGCGCGGGGTTGCGTAAATCAATAAAATAAGTGCTCCCACCAACTGCCATAACACTATTCAGCCTCGGCAGTTCCCCTTGCTCTAAAAGAGTAAAGAGATTTGTGTTGCAGACAAACATGCTGCTGCTGCTTGATCCTGAGACGGGGGATGCCAGTCGCATCAACCTGGGGTCCCTGACTCGGAACGTAGCGGAGCGGTTTGTTCGCTCTGTCTACAACTCCAACCTGCCCTCGGAGGTCTGCCTTGACTTGGTGCAGCCAAACAACCTGCTGGCAGCTTATCAGCCTGGGAGGTGAGGAGGCTTCAGACCACTTGGCCTCTGTTTTCTGTTATTCATCTACAATACTGTATGATTAACTAACCTGGGTAGAAAATTAACAAGCACTTGCGAGTAATTAGATCAAAACCATACTGCTCTTAGGTGGTTAGGATATCTTGTGTGGCGATCGCAGAACTATCATTTTAATGTTTTGGGTCTGGCAGACCCTTTGTCAGTTAAACTCCTAATCATCTAAAGGCATTATTGGTTTGGTCGCTATACTGTATGATATACAGTATAGTACAGTTCCCGAGAAAAGATAACGGTGTTTTTCGACCCGGGTAAATAAAGCATGCAATCGCAGAAAGCTCGAAATCTTTTTATAATTAATAGGTAGTTTTCATTTTTGTTCTAAAGTTTCTTCGGATCATGCTGCTGCTTTTAGGGCCAGTTAGTAAAATTTGCACAATACCAAAACTTTTTTTGAGTATCACCATTTTGGTTATTTTATGTTGCTATCTATTAGCGTGTAAGAAAAGTGTTGCTACGATCTTAAACTGTTCTTTTAAATGAACACTGGATTCAAAAGCAGTATTCTATTTTTTAATACTGTTAATTTCTAGGGATTATTGCACAGCAATGAGATGGTAAGAAGCTGTCAATCTTACTTGCAGGAGTCATGTGAGCATTCTTGACTTAGAAAACCGAAGCTGCCTGAATTGGAAGCTGCCTGTTTCAGTAAACAATGTACTGATGCTGGATCCGTCCAGGTGCATCATTACAGCTGGAGACACAAACAGGTGAACAGCAATACTAGGTTTCTCTTCTCTCACAAGTCGTAATGGTTACAGTAGCTGGTCAAAACGTGTAGCAGTGGCTTGTCAGCTCCTGTTGTCATTTCTTTCAAACATTCATCATATGTTAGGAGAGATGTTGGTTTTAAAATGGGAAGTTTAAAAAATTAAGTTTTGTAAAAAAGGGCTTTTTTAATGGGCATGATGGAGATTAACAGCTCCGTGAACGCAGCTGAAGGAAATGCACAGCCACAACAGGACAAAGCTCTGAATTTACTGTGCTGTTAATCCTCATCCTATACAGCATTTACCAACTGGCTCAATTTTTTACACCTTAGTATGACTTTTCTGATGTCTAGCTACATCAAACTGTCTTTCTGCAAAATATTATGCATTGCTCCACGCAACGGGTAAATCTTGAGAACACTTCCATAATCCTAATCTTCTGTGAACATCTAATAGGAACATTCAAACTTCAAGTGTGTTTTTCTCTGTTCATACTTTGCTCATAGCGCCAATGTTTTCTGCAGTTTGTCTCGAGCAATATTGTGACAACTTGGGTAGTATTTTAATTTGCTAGAATCATCTTACAGCTTTAAAGCTGTATGGTAATTATAGCTTCATAGTTTTCTTGATTAAGAGTTATTCAGCATTAATTACTTTATTAACCCTTTGACAGTCGTCACCATAGATGTTTGGGGGTGATTATAGATTTGAAGGTGCCCGCATAAATGCGAAACTGCGCTCACTGCGGGAGGTGTTGCAATTCGTTATGTCTTTTATGAACTATAAACTTTATATTTGCACATCGTTTCACATTGCTGGGCTATATATAGTTTTCAAATTAGACACTCCATGCACGTGATGCTCACTTCACATACTGGTCGTTCTGGTGGTAGTGCTCCTGGAATATCACGGAAGCACATGCGCCAAAATAAAGCCGAATGGAAGGAAGGTGACAACTTTTTGCCTTTAATATTTTTACTTGATGTTTCTAAACATGTACAGCTTTCAAGCACTGTACATGCTCCCACTAGATAATTAAGAAAAAACCTGTGCACTGACCTTTTTAAAGAAGTTTATTGGCTTCTCTTCCATACAGCTGAGAGCCTGAGGCAGCCAAAAGGCAGAAGCCCGTACATCCAAGTGCTGGCTGCCTCCTCGGCTGTATGTTTCTTTATACTATTCCTTTGCAAACAAAGCCGACCACGGAGAAACATCTCTTGGGAAAAAAAACTCGACCGTCAAAGGGTTAAATAATGATGGAGCTTATTCTCTACTCTATGATTGCAAATTTTTTTTTTTTTTTTAGAAAATAGCATTACCTTGCAAGTTAGATGTCGGTCAAAACAGTCCTCTTGAAATTTATTATATATGCCTGTAACAGTGACAATTAAATCAGATCAATCTCTTATAACTCGGGTTCTTGTAAAGACATTCAATATCTTTACATAAATATGACAAAAAAAGCTCTAAAGGCCGTTGTTTCCCCTTAAAGGAGCTATGCAACAATTTCAGGGCTTTGCTTAAATTATTGTGGAAGTTGATGCCTGACAATTCTGAAGTGAATTACAGAAAACAGATTTTGCCTGGATACCCTAGTTTTTATTTAAAAAAATGAAAAAAATCCAGGTTTTTGCCACCTCTCAACTCGTACGTCGTCTTCCGGGTCACTTGCGCAGTGACGTTATTGGGGTAGGCGCGGGGTTCCGGAAAAGTTCTCTTTTCCGGAACCTTGCGCCTTCTCTCAGTTCTCTTCTTCTTCCGGAAAAGTTATCTCAGTGAGCAGCAAGAACTCATCCGCTCGCGACCGAGGGACCACGTGCTGGCGGGCACCGCGCGAACAATATGGTGAAAGGAGGAAAGTCTCATCCGGTTCCGGCCATACCCGTCTGGCCCTGTCCCCCTCCCCATTTGGCCTCTGGCGGCTGTTCGCAGTAGCAGAGAAAGCTGACGGCTTTGTGGACCTACGATAGATGGCGCCACTAAAACTCTGTATAATAAAAGTTTTGTCGATGATACCAGGTTTTGACGCATTTATATATATGTTGGAACGGCAAGAATTATAGAAAAGTTACCTTTTATCGAGCAGGTATTCGCACAACTTGCTATCTTTCTACAAGATTCCCCATTGATGTCACGCCGCGTGTTTCTCATGGCCGCCGCTCACGGCTGCAGGTCAGGGAATATTCTAAGTTTTGCCTCGCTATTACGCGGCGGAACCGCAACATTTCGATGAAAGGAGGTGTGTTTTCTGTCATTTGTGACAAGGTGAACAATATCAAAAGTAGAAGATGCCAATTCTTTCAACGTTAAAAATTGTTGCGCAGCTCCTTTAAAGAGACACTGACACCCCCCTTTCTTTTTAGTTTTTTGCCAGACAATCTATTATATAGTGTTAGAAGACTACCCGATCAATATTTTCCTGCAGTGTCACATATATTTTTAATGAAGTAAAAAAAAAACGCAGCTTCTCGAAACTGAAACCAAATTCGGATTGGAAAGGAAAAAGAATAAAGAGGAGAAGAAAGTTACCAAAAGTCACGTGGCTGTGCAACTTTTTTTTAGTCAACGTATTTGCAGCGTTTTAGAAGTCACAAAAAATGGGTATCATATTTTTGTCTATTAGTATTGAGTGTGTGCTTTCGATGACCCAAGACTTTGATTCTTTGGTGGTTGTGTCTAAACCATAGAAAAAGGCACGTGACCCCAGAGAAGAGAGTGAGCGCGACTTAAACCGGCCAGTTCTTCATAGGCAGTTTTCGGGCAGAAAGAAAACTAATTTCGAGCTGCCAATTGTGTTCTGGGTAGTTGGACTCTCATATGTCATGTACAAATAAAAACCTTGGCGAGCATAAATACCCTCTCAGTCATATGTGGTACTTGTTTTAGATGCTAGTTTATAATTTTAACAACCTGTATTTCCTCATTGATGTACCTCAATTTGTGATATTTGAGGTGTAGCTCTTTCTGTAAACAATTCTAATGTATACCTTGAATTTCCATGTGGCCAGTGGGCATTAAATGCAGAGATTTTCTTAAGATGGAATGGGGTTGTGCTTAGAAATGTTACCATTTGGCAGTGGCCACTGGGTGGCTGGCTAACAGACATGCATGCCTATAGGCCTCTGCCTAGCTGTCTAGTCTTGTGAGCCGCCCAAAGTACCACTACTGGCGCTATAATGATAATTATTATTAATATTAAGTACACCTCCAAAATATTTCTCTAGCTTGATCATGCTGCAAAGACTGGGGAGTTCAGAATGTGTTGTGAATGAGCTGGGCACATGCTGTGTGTGTGTGTGTGATGTCATCAGCGACCCTGGAAGAGTATTTTACGTGGGGGGGCTAGCGGTCAAAATAGGGAGGGTGGAGGGGGAGGGGGGGAGGGGGAGAAAAAGTGAAAAAATTAAAATTGGAAAAAAAAAGAAGCATTATCAAGATTTTACTGTTTGTAGAAGGTATATTATCACTATCTATACTTCGTGTCCATACATTAATCCGAAATTCCTGTCACGAGGCAATGAGATGTTGACACAATCTGATCCAATAGTAGTAGCTATACGGCGACATCGATCTACAGTATCGATGTAAAATGCACTGGAAAATCGGGCACCTGCACATAGAAAGCTGACATTTTTAACAAAGGTGTATTTTAATCGTGGACACATTTATGTGAAATTTTTCGGCGCAGCTTCGTTCCTGTAGAAAGTTATAACAATGCATTCTTGAACATTTCAAAAAAGTTTACCGCCGCTGGACGTGCTCGTCCTTCGATGGTAAACCTTCACTGCAATGCCCTTTTTTATTTCAGCATGTTTCCTACTTTTATGGTCGTCTTTGAAAAGAGGGTAAAACCAGTCATGGGCACGCTACTGCTAAAATGTAAAAGTGTTACAGTTTGTTACTCAGGGAAAAAGTAACCCTGCTGCAGTTACAGTTACAAAATTTGAAGAGTAAATTGTTACAGTTACATTTACTTCACAAAAGTAATGCCATTACTTTGTCGTTATATTACAAAAAAAATTTAAAAAAATTCAAAAGGAACTTTCGTTAAAGGAGCCCTGCAATCATATTTAAGCGTCTACCTTTTTTGCGGTTTCCACGTCTCTTGGGGTTCGGGCAAGCCAGCGGGCACGGAGAGAGTAACTAAGTATCAGTGCGTCATATTTTAACCGGACGACGCGGAAACCTCCTCCACCTACGAGGGCAGCCCACGTTGCCAAAAGCGCGCAATATGTGACGTCTTTGGTCCTGGGCTTACTACTGGTCAGAGCAGCCAAAAACTTTTTCTTTAGTCGAGATACAAATATAAGTGTCGCGAACCATTTCAATTATGTATGAAAGTAGTTTTTGTTCAGTATTATAGATAAGAAAAGAAACAAATGCAGTTTATACAGTACGGAAACAAGAAAAGGCCCGTTGACAAACCCGCCACCAAGCAGCGGAAAAAACGGCGCATACTAGAAAGGGCTTGTGGGATGAGGCTCCGACGAACGGCGAGCGTAGAAAGGTCCCGGATGTATGTGGCGGCGCTGCTGTCGTATACCGGCTCGAGGATCTGACCGGTTCCAAGCGTTCCGAAGGCTTTCGGCACGGGCTTGGCTGGCGATTTGGCCATTTGGCGGTATGGCAGCGCGAAGTGGCTCCCATTCTAAACTGATCTTTACCCCGTGTTTGCTGTCGTTTGTGGCCAATGAAGTGTTATGCCGGATTAGTCTTTTAATCGTGCAGCAAATGCAATGCGAGCCGCCCTGGCCGCCTGCTTCATAGTCTATCCAACACGTGCTTTAGTGGCGCCCTCTCGAGCCGTCGACACAGAGTGCGGCAGCCGTGAGCGCTCGATGAGCTCACTACTCCTCCTTTAGTTCACGGCCACTCAAGCCAGGACCTACGACGTCATGAAGGAGGTTATTTTTTGCTTGTTTTTGTAATTCTAATTTGCCTATAAGTTTTAAAATAAAGCGATATTTGAGAAAAGAAAAGATTAAGTTACTATGTTCAGTGCGCTCAGGTTCAGTTCAAATTAAAAAACAGTCAAAAAGTTGTTGCAGGGCCCCTTTAATATGCATTTAATTTAACAAAGATTTTTCGTAAGACATTGTGTTCACGGTAGTTAAGTTCCATAAAGAACTTAAGAATTAAGTGCGACCACCATAAGGTATACACGAATACAACAGCACGATTCTGGATCTTGGATACATCCAATCATCGTGCGAGTTTATGCAATGATGGGACGAGTTTATACAATGATGATGGGATACAATGATGGGCGAAATGGGACGGAAGCAGCAAACATTGTGCATATGTCAAGTCAATAATAATATAAGTCATACCTCGCAATCAGCTTGTAGATGTGTCACTCCAATCCACTCGTCAATTGAATCGTTTTCTACTGCGTGCTCACAATTTTTCATGAAACACGAAGCTTCTCTTGAAAATTTGGAGAGCAATGCAGTGCTAACATTCCTTCATCAAACCCGCTGAACACGGCAGCAGTAAAAAAGAAGCACTGATAAAAAAAAAGTGAAAGCCGTTTACAAGTGTCTGTAACGCCGAATTAGAGCGCAGCTCTTAAGAGGAGGAGGGAAGGATACTGAAGGGAGGGTATAACCCTCCTCCTCCTCCTCCTTCCCCTCCTTCAATCATCCTCCGCGTTTTAACCGACCTTAAAAGGTCCCTTTGCTTTAACGCAACCGAGCAACACTGGGGCCATGAGTGAGCTTAGTTAGAATGGTTTTGCAGGCGCTACTTGCTCTCGTGGGACCAGGAGAAGCCTCGGGGCAGCCATGTCTTTTCACAGATCACCGAAACTTCGCTCGATGGAGGTTTGCAGGCCTACGAAGTTCGCCATCCCTACCGGGCAGCCCAGGCAGACCTGCCTTTGGAGACGCTAAGGAGCATTGTGGGGCCGGATGGAAAGGCCACATCAGCAGCAAGGCTGCTGCTGACCCAGCAGGACTTTGCTACAGTGGCACTGAAGAGCCCTGGTTCAGAAGTAGGTTTTTCTGGCAGTCTCTTTCAATTTCAATTTTAAGAAGGCGAGTCTTTTTATTTGTAACTTCAAAATTATAGATACAAGCGTCTGCTCTCTTGCTGCAAAAATACTTTCCTTGCTCTAGGTGTACATTAAAGTGACCTTACAATTGATATTAATTTAATATTTTTTGCATGCCTAAAGCAACCTTCCTGAAGAGTTGATATAGCAACCAATGTTTCGCTAAGAGACAGCCTCTTAGAGCTGCCGAAGAAGCGAAGTGTCGTGGCAAAAAATAGTTTGCCACTCTGAGATGCAGGTTTTTTTTTAATTCTGAAAGCTTGTACAGTGACTAATTTCCTTTCAGCACAACTGGGAAGTACATAGCTACCCACGTTCCAGCCTGCCTTGGGGGGAGCAAACTGTTGGGAGTGCCCACGAAGTGCCCAGGTCTGCACTTCTACAGAACTCAACACTCGTCGTCACTTCCAAGGGCCAGCACCTGGTACCGAAGGAAGCGTGGCCAGAGAGTAAGCTTCAACAGTCGCGTAGAATTGAGGTATTTAACAGGGGGAATGCTGGAGAGGGGATTTGACAGGAGCTAATGGTTTTCCTTCATGTGTGTTGGTAAAGAGAAGGCCAAATACATTATTTCCTTGTGATAATAAAGTGAACGGGCAAAAATGTTTGATATAAATAGGGTCCCGCGTTTTCGGTTTTTATTTCTTCAAAATTTGGCATACTTTTTTCGGTGTTTATTTTAAAATGCAATTTCGGTTTATTTCGGTGTATATTTATTCCCAAAAAAGTTTACCGGTTTATTTTGGTCAATATCAAAGGAACACTATTGGACACCGGATCAGATGATCCTTGTAGCTGTGATATTTGTGATCACTCGAAGAATAACGGCCCATATACATATGTGATCTTCGCTACAACTTCCGTCAGGACACACCTCAAAATCGCGGAATTCGCGGGGATAACCTTCAGCGCACTTCTTTTTCCTTACCATTCTGACGACGTGACCATCTGGGGTGATGACTACAAAAACCAACAAAATGGCAAAAGAAAAAAAAATCCATTGTATTTATGTTTTTAACCACAGGGAAGTTTGAGAGAGGGTGTTAAGAAAGGTATTAACGGCTTTCATCAATGTCCTCTGAAGTGCATCAAGCGAAAAACGTTATACTAGCCCTCATTCAAATTATTTTTTTAGGACCGGGAACTTGACAAACTAAGCCCGATCACAGAAAGGACATAGATGTCCCGCGAAGGCCAATCCAAGACCTCTTTTGTTGCATGTTGAACCTTGGAAAGGGGCAATCACGAAGACGTCACACAATGTTGAACCTTGCAAAGCCATCTCTCTCTCTCTCTCTCTCTCTCCCCCCCCCCCCCCTTCTCCCAGCCACTTCGACGCGGCCCTAAAAAACTGACCTTTTTTGGGTAAAACCGAATTTCCGAAAATGGATTCAGCGTACTTTTATCAGTTTTTATCGGTTTAAACCGAAAACTCCGAACCCTAGATATAAGCGACAATTCAATAAAACTGAGAGAAAAAAAATTATGCAGCAGCAGCCTTGAAAGTGGACAGGAATGCTGCGGAAGACTTAAAACATGTATTTAATAACAAACCTCGATGATGAACAGCTCGCAACTACTTCACTGAGGTGTAAAAAAAGAAAAAGAAATCGAGTTTGTTAGTACTTTTTCCTGGGTATCAGTCTTCCCCGAGTTGCTTCAGGCATCGCTAGAGCACTAGCTGTCACTTCTGCTGCACTCCATTTATTCCGAAGCAGCCATAGAATATTTTGTGTCCCTGCAGTCGTCGGTATTTCTCGAGGTGCCTCTCTGACCTCTCTTCGTCTTCACCTTGGCCACACACAAGGCCTACGATTGCAGCCTCTGTGCCAGGTGCTGCAATTGGAATGTCTGCATCGACGAGTGCAAACAAATTGAAGCTATACTCGGTGGCTTCGCCAATGTGTCTGCACACATTCCTGTAGGGGTCGGCAGCTCTGGGAATCAGGCATTGGCTCGACAGGCAGGCCCTTGCTCAGCAAGCAAGCAAGCGAGCACCAGAAGGTCCGACTTGCGCAGTGCAGTTGAAGATTTTTTTTTAATCATGGGTGCGCTTTTTCTTGCATGAGAAACCTTTCTTTGACCCATCCAGTACATCTTGAAGACACTGTAATTAGGTAGGCAAAAAGGAACAAACACGGCGTCGGAATGTGGACGCTGCCGCTGGCCACGTTAACATCAGAAGCGGCACTCCGCCCTCTCACACCAGTTTGCCATTTGCCTCGTGGAGGGAGGCAACATAAGGGTCCTCTGCACCTGCATGTAGGCTTGTGTGCTTTCAGCACCTCGGCCTTCGTAGTAAGCATGGTCGGCCACCGATACAATTAGTACAATCCGGTTTAAGGTGCATGCAGTTAGGTCGGGATTGCGTTGAACTTTGAATAAGGCAATAATTCGAGTAAAGTGATTTCGTTATAACGAGGGCCTACCTACTGTGAATGACTTTATTTTTGCAGGCTCAATATTTAGCAAATTTTGCGTAGTGTGGGGTTTCGGGAATATTTTGCGGGCATCAAATTTTGCAATTTATACTGACATCCTATGTATTTGTTACCACGGGCTTATATATTCGCATGTTAAATTTTTCACGTGTTAAATTTTTTAAGATATTTTCCAGGTCACGAAATATAAGGTCCTCGCAAATGTTAATCGTTTATAATGTGAACCTTATTGCCCATTTTTTATGGAGCTGAGCTGTCATTTCTTTCGCATGGGAAATTCTTAAATTTTCTCTGAACAATATCTTATATTTTATAAGTTTATTAGTCATCTCGTCTCTTCAACCTGAATTAATTTTCATCTGTACTTGCTGAAATTTAAAATAGCATTATTACCTTGCATTATTGTATTATCTTAGAGTCTTACTACAGTGTTATTATTTTAGTCATAAAAAGTTGCGAACAGTGGTTTTTGGAAAGGGGGATATGTTTTATGAAGGACAACACAGGGATCAAAATTCTATATTCAGTGTTGGCATAGATCCTTGGAGTGATGAAAGACAGGGACCTTGACACCCCCATAATTTATTTTTATTTTTGCCAGGCTATTCATTATGGTGTCAGAAGACTATCCAATCAATATTTTTCTACAGCATCACATATATTTTTAATAAAGTAAAAGAATGAAACTGCTCAAAACCGAAACTGGGAAGGAAGAAGAAATACAGAGGAGGAGAGGGTTAGCGGAAGTTGCGCAGCTGTGCAACTTTTTCTTTCCAGTCAACGTATTTGGAGGTTTTTAGAAGCCCCAAAAAATAGGTACCATATTTCTTTTCTATTTTTAATATTGTGTGTGTACCTTCGATGACCCACGGCTTTGATTATATTTGGTGGTTGTGTCTAAACCGATAGAAAACAGCATGTGACCACGAAGAAGAGAGTGAGCTCGACTCAAACCGGCCAGTTCTCGATTGGCGGTTTTCGAGCGGAAAGAAAACAAATTTTGAGCCGCAAATTGTTTTCTGGGTAGTTGGGCTCTGTTATGCACAAATAAAAATTTTGGCAAGCATTAATACCCTGTCAGTGTCTTTTTGACTGTTCTTTTATTTGTCTAAATACAAACAAAATGTTTCTAGCTTGCTTCATTTTTGAATGGCATAGTGTTAAAAAAAGTGAGCAAATATTTTTATTAAAAAAAAAATATTACTTTTTTGTACAGTTAACAAATGGGCACTGCCAAAGCCAAAAATAGTTCACATTGTTTAAAGCAATTCTTTGTAGGTGTTTTAAAGAAAGTAAACAAAAACAGGACAGAAGCCCCAAAATAAATCCTATGTTGCTGGAAATCTTTGTGTAGTAGCTTTACTTCAAGATACTTGCATACCTGACTTTCCTGTACTGTCTATTCTTGCTGAAACCTTTCAGGACTTGTATACTGAAACTAGCAGGTTAACTCTGGCAGCTTATGACAGGTTTTTAGTGATTGGTGCAATGAGAAACTTATCTTGCTTTGTCTTTCTATGACATTCAGATGGTGCATTTGGAGTCCCAAGCGCATTTCTGGAGGCAGTGGACCTGAATGACCAGACAATCCGCTATGTTCCCGTACCTCTGTATGTTCACGTGTCTCATTCTCTCATTTTCTCTGAGTGTCCTGTGGTTCACTCATTTATTTATTTATTTAGTTACAAAGGGTCCTTCGAGGAGGACGTTGCATTGTGGCGCTCAGTCCAGATAGCAGCGCATGAAAAATTCAAAATGTTGAAACGAAGTCAACGAACAGAAAACAACAAAAATATGTGAGAATTAAAAGCGACACTAGACACTCGCGCATAATTAAGACTAAACTTGTAATCGAAACAACAAATAAGTAAAGAATCTCTTTATTTGGAAAGGAAAGCAAAGAAAATTGGAGCACATCAGGGCCCAACTCGGCCTGGTCAAAAATGAGCTGCCCATGTTCAGATACACATACTATGTGGTGAACAAACCTGAGACTGGGGGAAAAGATATGAGGATGACGAACACTTCCATGCACCAGCTCAGCTCCACACTTGGCATTGCTACGGACTCGGTCTGTCGACAAGAGGAGCGCGAAGGGGGTAGAATAATAGACACAAGCTGGAGCTGAGGCCTGGATGCAATGGGGTTACCCTTCCGCCACAGGTCTCAGGCTGTGGCATACCGTTTCCAAGACAATAATACTTCGGACATTGTCATGGATGTCGGGAGCAACGACACCCTGGTGACGGCAGACCGCTCTGGGTGCGTTCAGGTCTGGGAACTATCGGCGGCAAAGCTCAAGAGCTCCCTTGCAGAATGGCATCAGATGATTGGGGCTAACCAAACACCCCTCGAGGTGAGTCTTTCACTCCACGTATCATCTACTCCTTGGTGGCACTTGTCTGTTGAAAGGTACTGCAGCTTACGGAAAAGGAATCGCTACAGCGCTTGTTCAATTTTTTAGTTGTTTGTATTTCTCCTAAGGATCTTTTTGTGGGCTTGAAGCTAGCAAATTTAGCTCTTTCTAGGGCTTGCAAACAAATTAAAACCTGGTATTTTTTTCGTAGAGCTAGCATCTGACGTCCCATATCTTGCCCCTTATTAGATAGAAGATTCAAAGATATTACTTTAAGCCTGATTTAATGATATTACATTGGTAAAAGACATTTGCAGTCAAGTTGCACGAAACGTGAGGCTATATCTTTTTGAGACTAATTAATTAAAATTATTGTATTACATATAAAGCAACAAAGTAGCATCACCGTACAAAGCATGTCTTGGTGAATGCAATTCTATAGAAATTCCTGATACTATATTCTGAAGAATTTTAAGGTAACGACCCATAAGGAGCACCTAATTAAAATTACAAATTTATGGATAACTCAGGATATAGTGAAGCTATCTGAAAACTAATTGCATATTTGAAATCACCCCTGGGAAATACATCAGTATACTAAATTTCAGCGTGATAAATGAAAATAGGAAAAGAGTTAAAGACCAGCAAGTGCACATATTAAGAAGCTGTTGGTGTGGAAAGCTTTTTAGGCCTCTGATTCTTGAAACAAATAACAATCTTTGGCTTCTTGTATGATTAAAAAATTATATTGACGGCAGCCTCTATTCTCCGTTCACTCTCAGTGCTGGTTCACACTTGCAACCGAGTGCCTTCAAACCTCTTGGGATCTCTTTTGATGAGAGAACAGATTGGCACCATCTATCGGGTAGCTGTGAAAGGCAATTCCCTAAATTTCCTATTCTTTCCGCTCATCATTCTTTCACTGCTGGTTTGAGAAACTATTGTCAATGTTATAAACGGCCATTTCTTAATGATAGTATGTATATTTGATCTCGCAAATACCGCAAAATCTTCACTTTAGTGAAGTGCAGTTCCAGGGTCACCTCATAGATAATGCCAGTGTGCCAGTGTGCTCTCTCGTCTTAAGAGATTGCAAGAACTCAATCATTAATGAACGCAGATGTATGAACGGGCCTTAAACTGACAGTGCGATGAGAGCCACGTGCTCGCCTGGCCAATCAGCCGCCTCCCTTTTCTCGCCTGAGCCTGCCCTCTGCGCGTGGGTATGGGCCTCAGCGTGATCACACGGTGAAAGATCACACGGTTAAAGATGAAAGAAAAGCACAATTGATCCAGTGAGTATGTATAGCTTCTTCCGCGCTGTGAGCTTAGGCATGAATGGAGTATAGCGATGTTCGGGAGGATGGCACAAGCTCTGCGGTTCTGAGCACCCCATTATAGAAATTTTTCTCATTAGCTCAGCCTGGCATTTGTTTCAGCTGAAAATCGAGAAAAGAGGCAAGCAAGCAACGGGCCCTAAACACGGCAAGGAGGACCCTGAAAACATGCCCCACGTGGGGGGAAATACGTGGGCAGGAGGCACAGGTGCACACTTACTGCCGCATCATGCAGGCTTGGAATTGTAGAGAGACGAAACTTACATTTGAGAAGTGGTCCTGGTTTCGCAGGTGGAACGGATACGGCCGGTTTAGGAGGTGCGGGAGGACCCTATCGCCTGGACAAGGGACACCGGGTGCATCAGCTGTCGGACATGGAGAAGCAGTCGGTTCCTCCCGAGGTACAGTGTCTCTCGGTTCGAGATTGGGGCGAGGCGGTTACATTCCATTGTCCTCGCCATGCAGGTGCTCCAAGCGGCTCGGGAAATGGCTCAGAAGGCTCTGAAGAGCAGGTTGGTCCAACTGCTCATGAGGGCAGCCTTCCCTTTTCATTGATGAATAGATCGTCCAACCAGTCTCTTGTGCTTTTTGCAGGCTGAAAGAAATTGACATGAGTGAGCATGATGCTGCACTGTACGAACAGTTTTCTGGCTCTGTGCAACGGCAAGTTCAGCTTCTTCGCGTCATCTTGGACGGTCTGCAGGTAAGGCGCTCACCAATGTTTGGGTTGTTTTGCATACAGCTTGTGACCCTTTTTATTCTTGTCTGAATTAAAAAAACTAAACTGTAATAAAATGCTTAGAAATGATCTTGCTAGCACAAACAAATTTTGTCATTAATCATTTCCATAGTTTTGTACTATGTGCCAGTAAAATATGCAATGTGAGTGTGCTTTCATTTAAAAACTTTTCATTTGAGACAAATAGTTTGTGCACAAATAAGAAATCTTTTTTCTCAATTATGTGACCTCTATTTGGACAGTTACAAAGTCTATTTGGACAGCAGTTTATAAAGTTGCCTGAAGCTTGCTTTTTGCAATGGTTTTTACCAAATTTCTATTTACTTCTTTATTTTTCATTTATTTATTTATTTCTAATTCTGTCAACTCTTGTATCCTTTCTTGGAATAACCTACAAGTAGGTTATTTCAAGAGAGGACAAAATAATCTTTTCGCAAGCACATTATGCAACAAATTACTATTATCACTCTTTACTCTAGCAAGAAGTTGCTGCTTATTTACTGTTTTATTTTCCAGTTGCTTTTTTAGTGGTCCTCATAATGGAAGAATAGGAGCATCAGTTAAAGCGCAATCTAGGAAGTTGCTTTTTTCTTTTTTTTCCTTCCTCGTGTTTTACCCGGTTTTATGTTTTTTTTTTTTCTTGTCTTCGTCAGGTTTAGTCATCCAGATTTTCAACATCTGGGTTTATCTCCTAACACAAGTTACCCACTTGCATGTCTTCTCTCCCTTAGGCTACTAGTAAAGAGAGACAGTGGCTTAAGCACCAGTCCTCCGGGGACCTCGATGACTCCAAGCTGATTGAAAGCATCACGGGAGAGAAGACCATCTACCGTAAACGAGGGGAGCAAGAGCCGGAGGTATTGTTCCCATTTGGTCTGGACTACAGATTGCTACGAGAATGGGTTGAGGTCTTGGTGGTGGAGACTGTATGAGTAGTTCATTTGCTCTTTTCACTTCCGAGGTCAATTGAATTTTGTGAAATAATGTGGAATCCACTCTTTTGTCTAACAAATTCATAGAAATTCATAGGTGGTCTGTGCAGAATGCTTCAAATGAAATGTTTGTCTACCTTGATAGGAACCAGGTTATGTGCACCAGTTGAGTGCAACACTTGGATGATGCTGATTATTTCCAAATTACTTTGTTAGGTCCTCGTGAAATACAAATATATACTAAAATGTAGTGAGTCTGAAAGTTTCCCAAAGATTTTTAATTTCATCATTACTAGAATCTGAATCACTAGAAATGTGGAGTGGTCCGGTGTCACATGCCTACTGTAAATAGTCGACTCTCGGTAATTCAAAGTTGCTTTATTAGGATTTTCGGTAAGTTCGAAGTATGGGTGCGGTCCCGGCAATCATACATACACGTATATGAGAACGAATGTGTGGTAAATGTGAAGTTTAACAGAGGTGTCTGGCTAATTGGGAGGATTTTTTTTTTGTGTGCTCGAGAAGTCAGGTAACTTTGGGTGCATGAAAAAGCCTCATGATTATGCCAACCAAGTCCACTGTTTTATCACTTTTATCATGTACACTTTATCGCTTTTATCCACTGTGTGCGTGGTCATGGGAAGGAGGGAGTGAGCGTAGCTAAGCCACCAGGCAGCCAAGTCAGAGCAGCCAGGCCAAGACGGGTTTACTACGGTTGGTCGAATGCCATTTCATCGAAGCACGTTTTAGAGAATAGGCACGTTTTATCGAAGCACGGTTTAGAGAAAGCAGAGCCTCAGTTTAGAAAAACGCCATTTATCGAAAAGGGGACGCTTTTTAAAAAAAAGGCTTTCCTACTTCTTGCGTGTATCACTGGTGGGCGTGTTAAGCCATGCCCCCTGCTGCGCTCCCGCCGCTTCGTGGCGGCACTCTGCGGCGGCTCATTACAAAAATGTTAACTCACCTGATTTACCCATACACGCCGCTTCCCGACAGCGGAATTCGCTAAAAGGAGGCTCATCGCCATTTTCTCTAAACTGCATGGGTTCTCTATAAAAGGATTTGATAAACCGGGGTCATTAAAACGGTGTTCGCTAAAACGAGCTTCTCTAAACCGCATGCCTCCGAGCCAAGACAAGCAAGTATGGCTGTAGACACTCGCATTATGGCGCCATCTCTGTGTTGTACGTAAAGCGATCAACAGCATGACCGTGCGGCGCGCACGTCCAACAAAGCTGGTCTTGAGGAATTACCCAGCCCTCGGAGATGTTTCACCTATTGAATATTTCAACAAAGATGCCGGGGTCTGGGGTTCGTTTTCAGACAATGAAATTGTGCATGCAGTTAGGCCCAGGAATTAACCGTTGCTTTCGATGCCAGATGCTGCGGGAAGCACTCACTTGATTGAATGACGTTTTAGCCAACGCCCGTTTCACCGAATGACACTTTAGCGAATAGTCGGACGCCGCGAAGCGGCGTTTTCGGGTGGGCCAAATGGGTTCACATTCTTGTAATGAGCCGCCGCAGACTGTCGCCGCGAAGCGGCGCAAGTGCAGCGCGGCGGATGGGTTAACGTGCGCCCCCGTAATTCGCTAAAACGTTGATTCGCTCAAATGTTGCTGTTCGCTAAAACGTCATTCGCTCATGTGATATGAACCCCAGATGCTGCTGATGCTGAAGCTGTGTTGGGCGTCACAGAGGGCCTTTTCTTTGGTGAAAAAACGCCGAAGGCGCCCACGAAAGCTTGCAATATGCACAGCTCAGTTACTGTGACATGTCTTTATCAGCGGAGGATTTGTCTGTCTTTGTGTTATACTTCTAGCGACACCGGTCTACTTGCAACCTTGCACGCCATCAACTTCTGAGTGAATACTGAATAAAAATAAACTCACAATTTTAGTGTTTTTTTTATTTAAAGCTTGCTTAATTCAATGCATTTCGCTGTCCCCGTGAGCTTTGAATTTCCGTGTGTGGACCGTATGTATATACATTGTGTGGCACGGCACCCACCAGCCAATTGCTGTGGTTTCGATTAGCGAGCATGATCGATAGAACTATAGCATAAATAAATAATGTCTCGTGTTGCTTTCATCTCAATTTGATGCCAAAGAAAGGTCCAAATGTCTCGACCTTGCAGATTGGAAGTCCCCAGGTGAAGCCTAAGCGCCTTCGCCTGGTCGTGGATGTCAGTGGTAGCATGTACCGCTTCAACGGCTACGACTCTCGCCTCGAGCGGGAAATGGAAGCTGTCCTTATGGTGATGGAGGCGCTCCAGGGCTTTCAAAATAAGTTTGTTGTGAGTGCGTGCTAAAGCATTTCTTTTTGTTTGCCTAGTTTTAAGTGAAGCGTCTGTGAAGACCACACTGCTCTTTCAGAAGTCTACCAAATGTTTCTCTTTGTAGGCTTGTGCATTGTTGCTGATCAGCAGATTTGGTCAGTGTGATCGAGCAGTTGTTCTAACTGTACAATCTATCGTCAAAGGGCTTAACTTCTGCCTAACCCTAGTTTGCTCAATTACAGAGGCTTAGTCACATTGATTTTTTTTCACGCAGTATGACATCCTTGGACACTCGGGTGAAGAAAGCCGTTTAGACCTTGTCAAGGCAGACAAACCACCTACAAATGACAAGGAAAGATTCAAGGTTCTTCAGGTATCGTGCACCTTCTTCCCATAATTATTAAGGAACTCAAGATACCTACTTCGAGAGAGATTTTCTTTCAGTTCAATTGAATTGCTATGCCAGTGGTTCTCAACCGCTGATGTTTTTTTTGGGGACCTCGATCCTCTGAATCGGTGAAAGTGATGGGGGACCCCATCCACTGGGAAGGAGGGGGGATAATAGACGATTTTGACAACAAAGGGTAAATAAAGAAAACAAAAAAAACAATAAAAAAAAACATGCAAGCTAGTTTTGAAGTTCTGCAGATAGACTATAATCAACCTTACTCTGTGCACATGTTAAAGGAGCTGTGCAACAATTTCAGTGCTCTGCTTAAATAATTTGGGAGTTGGTGTCTCGACCTTTCTGAAGTGAAGAACAAAAAACCGCTTTTGCATGTATGTCCTAGTTTTTATTTTAAAAATGGACACAGATTGAGGTTTTCGGCACCTCTCAACCGCTTCACCATCTTCCAAGTCACGTGCGCTGTGATGTAAATGGGGGTCGCAAGGGGTTCTGGAGCCATCAGTGAGCAGCGAGAACTCACCCGCTCATGACCACGCGACCACATGCTTGCGCAGAGCGATCAACATGGCGAAAGGGGGAAAGTCTCGCCCAGGTCTAGCAATCCCCGTTTGGCTCTGCCCCCGTCCCCCTCTGGCTTCTGGTGGCTGTTCGCAGTAGCAGATAGAGCTGAGGCTTTTGTTGACCTTGGATAGATGGTGCCACTAAAATTTTGGATAATAAAAGTTTTGTCTATATGATACCAGGTTTTCGATGCATTTATATTTATGTTGGAACGACAAGATTTATAGAAAAATTACCTTTTATTGAGCAGGTATTTGCGCAACTTCTTATCTTTTTACAAGTCCCCCATTGATTTCATGCCGTGTAGTTCTCATGGCTGCCGCTTGCGGCTGCAGCTCGGGAAATATTTCAACTTTTGCCTCGCGATTCCGCGGCAGAATTGCAACATTTCGAAGGTAGGAGATCTGTTTTCTGTCCTTTGCGACAAGATAGACAATGTCAAAACTAGAAGATGCAAATTCTTTTGACGTTAAAATCATTGCACAGCTCCTTTGAACAATCAGCATCAGTTAAAAAAAGAAATAGCTCAGTTGGGGGCTTTGGGGACCCTAAGAAGGCCTTCAGGGACCCCAAAGCAGTGTTGGATAAAGTACATATAAAAAGTCGAAAAGTACTTGAAGTGAAGTACAAAGTAAATGAGAGATTATGTACTTCAAGTAAAGTAGTGAGTACAGCGGGCGCAATGTACTATCAGGTTGAAATGAAAGGCGATCACCGGAGCGCGTGCCGCTCCTTACATCCCTCGCCGCCTGTCAGCGATCGGGGGAACCTTGGGCACATGTGCTGTTCAAGTTGAGGCTGCGAGGCTGCGTGTCCTACTGTTAGGTGGTCAGCTCCCGGCTGGCGCACCTGTGCTTCTCCGCGGCGCCGCTGAGGGTGCTCTAAGCCGTCGGCGAGCGCACGGCGATGGCAGCCAGGAGCTTGAACGCCAGCGGCGACGGCTTAGAGCACCCTCAGCGGCGTTGCGGAGAAGCACAGGTGCGCCAGCCGGGAGCTGAGCACCTAACAGTAGGACACGCAGCCTCGCAGCCTCAACTTGAACAGCGCATACGCCCAGGGTTCCCCCGATCGCTGACAGGCGGCGCAGAATGTATGGAGCGGCACGCACTCCGGTGATCGCCTTTCATTTCAACCTGATAGTACTTTTAAGTAAAGTACTGTAAATACAACATGCTTTCAAAGTAAAGTACCAGTACTTTTTTAGCACAATCTTCCATGATGCCCTTTCGTTCCCCTATACCGTGTTTTCTTTTTAAACTGGTGTGCATTGCCCCAGGGTTATTCGTTGGTGCATCAGTTATTTTCAGAAATGGCAGCAAATATTGGATAAAGTCAAGTGGCCACAGAGTCGTTGTTTTACCCTCGCTGAAGAACTATTCACAATCGCCTTATACTGTATTTATTTGTACAGGTCTTAAAGGGGTAGGGAAACGAAATTTCAGCGCTCATTTTTTAGCTTTAATGTGTTGCATGTTGCACCCTAACCTCAAAAACACCAATCTTCCGTTGAAAAGCACAAGAAAACTAATTTTAAAGCTAAATAAACAATCTTTCACTGTGCACCTGGTGGATGCATGCGGAGCCTATTTGGGAGGTAGTCTAGCAACGTTGTGGAACCTGCTACGTAGTCGTGATGTAGCTGATTCCTTCGGAGCAGCGCCGCCTTTTGGAATTTCAACATTCTCCTTTTCAGCTTTCCTCCTAGCTCAACTCACAAATCGCACATTGTACCAAATGGTCCAAGAAGACGGAAAGGAAGTACTCCCCTCTTTCTCGGACCCTCGTTCGTGCAACCGGAAACAGCCATTCTCCCCCCAGAAAATTAGCCCGTCGCACAAAACTCGAACAAAAATTGCTTTCCCCACCCTGTTCAGCCCTAAGCTGACAGTGTTGTGGAAGCTACGTGCTCCTTGGGCCAGCCACACGCTCGTCACCCCACGGGTACTTCGAGCGGCTCGGTTTAACCACAACGCTGACAACACCACCAAGGGCAAAGCTCATAAGCACGCCTGCCTTGCTACTCCATTAACGCGGGAAATCTTTTCTTTTTGTTTTTGTTTGCGCCAAACATCCCATGACGCATCGCGCTCTCCACTCGCTTCTTTTAAAGCGCTTGCTCGAGTGCACCGTTTGGAACGAAAAATATAGCCAATCGTTCAAAATACAAACGTGCGATTATCATTTACGGTTATTATCCGTCATGCTTGACTTATTTCCAAACGAAATTTGAATATTTCATTTTTTGTTTCCGTACCCCTTTAAAGCCACCATACTTCACTCAAAGAAATGACCAGATGACGTCTCAAAACACGATAGCGCATTTTCACAAGACAATACGCTAATTTTTTGTCTTCAAATTTGGGGAACATACTTTGAAGTCAGGAGTTGTACTTTCTTCGGAAGGTACCATAAAAAAGAGGCCGCATCTCCACGTGGTGATTGATGTTGATTGGGGCGAAGCTTTGGTGGTGCTGATGATACTGATTTTATTGTTCATAGGTAGTGCTGATGGTGCTGATTTTTGTTTTATTGCTCATAGGTAGTGCTGAGTTCTGGGTTGCGTTTCGACTTCATTATTACTGCTTTAGGATTGGCGAAATGCAGAGCCAGTGGTTCTTCTAGCGGATCAGCTTGGATCCGCTAGAAGCCATGGGAACGCATCTCCACCGCTTAAGTCAAAAATCCATGTCAAAAAGCGAATGTGTGGTATGGATCATGGTTATATATGCAGTTGAGCATTTGACCGCAGCGCCCTCTCGTCTATAAACGTTGAGCCAATCCATGCAAAGTTTAACGCGATTACGGTATATACGCATTTGACCGCAGCGCCCTCTCCTGTACAGACGTTGAGCAACGTTGGAGTGTAGCGTAGTGGTTAAGACATCTGCCTCGTAAGCAAGCAGTCCTGAGTTCGAACCCCCGTGCGGGCGAATGTTCTTTTTTTAAAAGTGGGCCGATCCCGGAGGCAATGCAATTGATGTGACCACGGACACCGGACAAGGCTAGACCCTAAGGAGCTTCGCCCCTAAAAATACTTCAAGGAACGTACAAGTACATACTCGGAGGGTGTACTTCAAGTAAAGTGCAAGTTCTCTAAATCTGCTTGAAGTAGTAGTTTAAGTACAATGTACCTAAAGTACTTCCCAACGCTGCTCCAAAGGGTCTGCACACCCCCATTTGAGAACTACTGTACTATGCTGTGTTATCTGCCCCCTTCTTTTTCTCGAGACAATTAAAACAGGAGCTTGTCTCTGATTGGCTTATTTTTTTCATCCTATGACAGGAGATGCATGCACATTCCCAGTTCTGTATGAGTGGAGACAATACCCTCTCGGGTACAAAAGAGGCCATCGAGAGTGTGGTGGGAGACGAATGCGAGCAGCACTTTGTGATTGTGCTGAGTGATGCAAACCTCGAACGCTACGCCATACCAGCTAAAAGCTTTGCACAAGTCCTGACTTCAAACCCAGAGGTGGATGCTTTTGCTGTGTTCATCGGCTCGCTGGGGGACCAGGCTGCCAGGTTGGTGACCACTCGATGACCGGTACCAGGGGGGTTGGAAGTGTACGGGAGCCAAGGGGGTGATGGAAGGGAGGAGTCTGGGTGTGTGTGTGTGTGTTTGGGGGGGGGGGGGGGGGGGGGGGGGAGGGGGGGGAGCAAGGCAATTGCCCCCCTTGCCTCCTCTCTTGGGGGCAGATTTAGGGGTGTCAGGCTTGTGGGGAAGTTTGCAGAGATGTGTAACGTCACGGATGATTGTCACTGTCGTGGACAATTCATCAATTATTCTCTTCCCAAAAAGCTTGTGTGCATTCTATTAAAATAAGCTACTCTTGCCTTCCCCTCTTTGGGCCTGCCCCCTGTTCTGACGCCACTGACCATAAGCATATTCTCGCGTAGCTGGTTGTAATCTCGATAGCTGCCACTTACTTGTGGTGTTCTGGTGCAGGCTGCAGAAGCGACTGCCTGCTGGTCGTGCCTTCGTGTGCTTGGACACTTCTGAATTGCCGCAGATACTGCAGCAGATCTTCACCTCTAGCCTTCTTCGTTCTTCGAGTTGAAAATTTTAAAATATCTTTTGTTCCACTGGGGGTGACCATCAAAAAACTATAGACGTGTGGCAGAACAAGTCGCATTGTATCAAACCATTATAATTATTGTGATACATATATGATTCCATCGTTACAGGACTGTGAGGTCCACTGAATAGTTTATATATTAAGAAATAAAGCAAATGTTTTTTTTTGTTGGTGAACAAACCAGTTTGCTGTGTACCCTGGGGTGCCCTCCCAAGGATAGTGCTTGAACCATTAAATTTTAAATCTTCCTTTTGGAAACAGTTTCAAGGTAAGTCGATATAAGAATGCCAACGCCTGTAGTTACCAGTATTCTACACTTTCGTGCCGTGTGTACAGCCTGTCTTTGCTCTGTTATCAGTCCCATTAGGTGAGTAGTGGCAGGTACTATGTTTCAAGCCATCTCCGGCCCTTGGGCACCACGTGTGGGGTACATAGGGTGACCACCTTCCTGCTAGTGAAATACGGGACTTGCTGGGCAGAGAGGAGAGGAAATTTATTAACACACACCACGAACCGAGGCTCTGTTAACGCATTTAATATCCTGTGCTGTTTATACACCTGCTAATTGCATTGCAGCAACTAAGCTCAAATAATTTTCACTCCCAGTGATATACTGTAAAACCCTTCATTTTTGTGGCCCCTATTTTTCGTGATTCGGTCACAGAGGACATAATCGCGGCCACTAAATTTCGTGATTTCCAGACGCCCTCATCAAAACTCTTAAGGACTGAAATTTTCACGTGCTCTTAAATTTCGCAAATGTTTCAATTCTTGACGTTTACGAATTGAAACCTACTGCGGCCAAACTTTTTGGACCCGGGAGGCAGATGTTAACAGTCATTGGGAAGTTCCGGGCCACGATTCAACATGGTCAACAGCTGATATGTGAGGACGTCTATGTTGTCACGAACCTTGGCGAACCGCTTCTGGGACGTGAAGCTAGCACAGAACTTGGACTTGTCAAATTCATGCACTCAGTCACCGACCCCACTACTGCTGGTTATCACCAGAAATATCCGGAACTTTTCAGTGGTATTGGAATAATGAAGGGGGAATACAAGATCAAGCTAATTGATAATGCCACACCAATTTCAGTAAACACGTCCCGTCGTGTACCCTTGGCTCTGATATCAAAAGTTGAGGAGCACTTGAGAAAAATGTTAAAGGACGGGATCATAAAGCGAGTAAAAGAACCCGCCGCGTGGTGCTCTGGAATGGTGGTGGTTCCTAAGTCGAATGGAGATGTCAGAATATGTGTAGACCTGACACACAGCTCAACAAGAACATTGAGTGCGAGAAACTGGTCTTGCCATCAGTAGAAGAAACCTTCGGCTGTCTTTCAAATACATCTTTGCATTCAAAACTGGATGCCAAGGCAGGCTTCTGGCAAATCAAGCTGGCGGCGGAGTCACAGCTCTAGACAACTTTCATCACCCCATTTGGTCGGTTTTGCTTTCAAAGGCTTCCATTTGGGATTTCATCTGCACCTGAGCACTTCCAAAGGAAGATGAACCAAATCTTGGAGGGCCTTCCGGGGGTGCTGTGTCATATGGACGACATCCTGGTGACGGGGTCGAACGAGAAGGAACATGACTCCAGGCTCGAAGAAGTTCTTCAAAGGCTGAAAACGGCAGGTGTCACACTAAATGAGAAGTGTGAATTTAAGAAGACCTCTGTCAAGTTCCTTGGCCACATAATCAGCAGCCAAGGACTTCTGCCGGATCCAGAACGGGTTGATGCAATCACTAGAATGCGTCCACCCACCACAGTTCATGAGATAAGGTAATTTATCGGGATGGCTAACCAATTCGGTAGGTACATCCCACACGTCGGAAAAACGAAAACCCCTACGAGACCTGCTGAAAAGGGGCATAGAGTGGGCCTGGGATGTTCAGCAGCAGCGTGCTTGGGAAGCAATAAAGAAAGACATCCAAGACGCCGCAACCCTGACTTTGTATGATCCAGGACAACACCTCACCGTTTCGGCAGACGCTTCGCCGTATGGCCTCAGAGCTCTACTCCTACAGCGGGATAAACAAGGACATGTGCGACCCGTAGCATTCGCGTCCAAAGGATTGAATGACACAGAGGTCAGGTATGCACAAAATGAAAAGGAGGCGTACACCGTAACATGGGCATGCGAGCGTTTTGAGAGTTTTCTCTGGGGAACTATGTTCCATGTTCAGACGGATCACCGTCCGCTTGTACCTCTCTTTGGATCAAAAGAGCTGAACTATTCCAGCGCGAATACAGCTGTTTAAACTCTGCCTCATGAGGTTTTCCTTCACGATCTCTCATGTTCCTGGTAAAGAACTGTGTACGGCCGATGCTCTGTCTAGATCGCCGGTAGACTTGCCGGGAAGAACCATGGGAGAGGAACTGGAAGCAAATGTACAAGCCATCGGAGGTTCCTTGCCAGTTTCAACTGAGTACTTAGACAAGAATCGGACACTGCAACGGGAAGACCCAGTCGGAAGAGAACTGAGGGAGTATATCACCGCTGGATGGCCCACAAAGGCCAAGGTTGCTCCTGAAGTGGTACAGTTTTTTTTTCGAAAGAAACAACCTCACCATACAAAACGGGCTTTTAGTGAGGACGAACCGCCTTTTCATCCCCCAGCCGCTTCGCAAGGAGGTGTTAGACAAACTTCATGGGGGGTAGCACTTGGGCATTAGCAAATATCGCAAACGTTTGAAGATGTCCGTCTGGTGGCCAGGACTCTGCACACACCTGGAACAGCTAGTCACGAACGGTTCCAGATGTATTCGGGAACGTGTCCCAAGGGAGCCCATGATACCATCGAAACTTCCAGACCGCCCGTGGCAGCGCGTTGCGACAGATCTCTTCGAACTGAACAAACCACACTACCTTCTAATAGTCGATTACTACTCGCGGTATGTAGAAGTATGTAAGTTGAGGCAGACAACATCAGAAGCGGTAATTGGCCACCTCAAAGCAATATTTTTCCGTCATGGTATACCTGAAGTACTCTGATCGAACAACGGTCCTCAATATTCGGGAAAATTATTCCAAGACTTTGTTGCGAAGTACCAGATAACCCATGTCACAAGCAGCCCGTATTGCCCGTGGGGTAATGGAGAAGCTGAGAGAATGGTAATGGTGGTCAAAGACATCCTCAAAAAGTCTGATGACCCCAACCTTGCCCTTCTATTTTACCGGACAACGCCGGGAAGCTGTAGCTACAGTCCTGCAGAGCTGCTAATGGGCCGCCAATTAAGGACAACGCTACCAACTCTTCCCTCAACGTTAATTCCGAGACTTCCCAATCATGAGGAATTTAGAAAAAAAGACAAGGAAGAAAAACAAACAACTGAAAAACTATAATAGCCGACATGCAGTGTGTGAACGCTTGAACGAACCTCTTGATAAGCACGGTCTGGGTGAGAAATGCGGCGACAACTGGTAAAGTCGCCGGAGAGAGGACAGAACCAAGGTCGTACTTCGTAGAGATCCCGAAAGGACTTCTGGTGAGAAACAAATGTCATCTCGCTCCGCTGCCGAAAGACGTGAGTGAGCAGACACCTTACACACTGGTCTCGGAGTCAAGAACAACGCTGCCAGTACGAACAAGGTCCGATCGGATTATCAAAAAGCCAAAGAGGTTCACAGAATGACTCCTTTTAGTGCTTATGTGTATATATATGTATATATGTGTGTCCTCGTGTGTATGCCCCTTGTGTCCGCAATTTGCAATGTTGGTTGAAGCCTCTATAGGGGGAGGAGAGATGTGGCAAGAGGCATGGAATAAAGAAGAACGAAGCCCCGGCGACTCCCGCGCTTCATGTGTGGAGCCCAGTGGACATGGCCTTGTCTCGTCCTTTCTAGATATCGCTACAATTCGTTCAAGTAATTTTTACGAAAGTGCCGTGCCGCAGGAAAAGGCTGCAACTCGTTGAGAGGAACTTTCGCCGGTCTCACGTCGTGATCAAAGCTTCCTTGGCACGCCAAAGTGCTGCGTCTCTGTGCCCCTGTGCCTTCAAATGCCTTGGCCCCCCTTTGAGAACTAGGGGGGGGGGGTGCGGGGCAAGCACCCCCTTGCTTCCTCGGTTGGTACACTCTTGGACACGAGCCCTCAATGCGGGACAGTCCTGCGAGTTGCGGGATGGGTGGTCACCCAGGTGTACAATGCGAAAAACCTAATGTGCGTTTACTACGAGAAGCACTGGGAAATGCCCCTGCTGGAGTCTCAACACAGCCTCAACATTGAACCTTTTCCAAGGAAGTAGCCCATGCAAAATACATGCCCAGTTCACAGAAAGGTGGACTTGTTGCGTAGCATTACACCCCTACTGTAGAGGAATGCACCAGCAGTGTTCATTTTTGCCGTAGCCGAAAGTTTTTCCGTGGGATTGCGGACACTCCGATCATAGTCTTCGTACCTGGAAGGCTCAAGCTTCGGGCAAAAATGTTGCTTCCCGTTTGTACTCACATTGTTTCAAACTGTTAGTCAGAATACTTAATTTATGCCAATAACTTTTTCTTTCTACTTGATATAAATTGCAATATATATATATATATATATATATATATATATATATATATATATATATATATATATATATATATTTTACAGGAAGAATAAAATGTAGCAAAAATGTTGGTTCTTTTCAGATTACTCTGAATTGCTCTGAATCTTTTCCAGTTCTGGGATATTGAATGTATGAGTGTATAATGTGCTTTTATATTGATTGCATGTTGGATTTGAGAAGAAAATTTTATAATGTACGTCCAAAATGAATGATAGAAGTTTTGAATTCCAACTCTGGTTATGGTGGGACCTTGAACTACCCTGGCACGAGGGGATACAAGAGTTAAGGGTACCTTTCCCACCAGCCATCCCTGTGGCTGTGGAGCATAGCAATGGCCTGCGGATCCCCATTTGGCGGGTTTGAACCCCGGTTGAGGTGTTTGCAGTATGACGAAGGCTTATTGCGAGAACAACGTCGTGTCGCTGACGTTTCAGTTGCTCTGCTCGTCAGAAGTTTCTAAGTTAGTTGAAATTATAGTCTTCAGTCCTTCACTGGGACGTGACAGATGCCTTGCCATGATTTTGCATGTAGACCGCCAAATTTACCTTGCCATTCCCCCACTGCTCGATTGAGAGCAGACAGATCTCTTTTCTTAGTCTTTTTTTTTTTTTATGTATACAGTCAAATCTTGTTAGTTCAAACTTGAGGGGGACCGAAAATTTGTTTGAATAAAGCAAAGTTTGAATTACCGGGAGTTTCCTTTCATAGAGACGCATAGGATGGGACCTGCAGCATGTTAGTTTGAATTATCCGCCAGTTTGTATTAAGAGGGTTTGAATTAACGAGATTCCACAGTAATATGCCTATCATGTGAGCATGATACCCTCTGCAACACAGTTACCCTGAGCACAATATTTGCACTTTTGTGCATTTTATTTCTACATATCAGCATCAAATGTTGAATTCGAACCCAAAGCTGCTGGTGTCTGTAAGCAGATTCCAACTACGTACTAGTAACTTCCATAACAGTTTTTGAGCTCCAGAAGGAAAAATATTAAAAACCGTTCGTTAATCGCATGCTCATGACAACTGTGTTGCACTCTATATAATTGAATATAATGATATTGGCTACATTCAGAGTGCAAATGACCTTCAGAGTATAATCATCACCAAATAATAAATAGACAAAAAAACACTGATTTCTTTATTTCAGCGAGTACAGATATCATAGAGGCACCGCCAGATTGCTAGCACATTCATTGTCTTCGAACAATTTGGTGGCACGCTTGCCTTTACTTAGTTGCACTGGCAACAACTGTACGCACTGCCCCATGCTTTTCCTACAATACCACTGCAATGTCTTTTCAACCGAAAGTAATACCCGGCTTCGGATGGGTCGAAACAACAAAGTTGGGCTATATGCGGCATCAGAAATGAATAACACGTGACTGTCCAATTTGCCTCTAGACTTGTAGAGAATGCGGAAATGCGCTACATCAGGATGTTCTGCAGGTTGCTGCGCATCTTGACTATCTCGTGCTCTTGAGCGTCGGCGAGAATCTTCTGGAGGTCGAGGATTTCGTCCTCGACTTCTGAGTTGAGTTTCTGCTGTTGAGCTGTCCGCTTGGCATCCATCTTTTTAGTTGCCTATTGGGATGGGGAGAGGAGGGAATGATCGACTGTACACTTTACCAGATTCTACTGTACACGCTTGTGATGGTCGCTGATATTCGCTTTGAACCCATATATATCGATGCATTGGCTAACATGGACTTTACTAAGTTATCTTTTGTGCAGTATGGATCTCTCTATGTGCGCGGTGGTAGGAAAAGCACATCTGCTAGGCTCTCTCTCAAGCAGGTGCATTTTGTTCGAACAGGCACTTAAGCATTTAAATTTCTTTCCCAAGCACGACTTGTTTTCCCAACAATGTTGAGCAGAAATTATGAGAGTTGGCAAAAGAGTTAGGTTTGAAAGTAGAAAATAGCCAGAATGAGCATCGCTGCTTGCAGAGCTTACGTCAGAGTAGGTAGTCCAGAATGACCTCAAAACCCTGAACTTCATGGTACTGCATTCTATGAGCTGCTGGTGACGCTTCTGGTATTGCACAAGGGCTTTCTGGAAGGTAAATACGTCCAAGTTCGAGAGGTGTTCCATTTCTGACTAGATCGAATTAGGATGTCTTACCGTAATCTTCTCTTCCGACTCCTTCACTTTTTGGATGTTGTTTTCAATTTGTTCGGTGATGAAGGTAACTTGTTTCTTAAACTCTTCGGTAACTCTGTGCCGTTCGGCTAGCAAGGATTCATCCAAGCCCAACATCTTATTTGTAATAGCTTTGGTTGACGTCTGAAACGAGATTACGGTGAATTAATTGATTGTGTTCATAGAAAATAGAAGAGAAAAAAAATTTGGGGGGAGGGAATTGTAAGAATAGAAAAGTAAGCAATAGTACTTAATTTAAGAAAAGAACCAAGAAGAGCAAGGTAGGAGAATGGGGAAAAGCTAAAGAAAAAATGTTTGATTTGGCCACCTAGACTTACGCGAAGGAGTTTCCGAAGTTGTTTCTTGGAACGCAGTGATTTGGCGACGTCGTTGCCAAAACTGTCGAGAATCTTGGACATTTCTCCCGACACTGCCGGAGAGTCATTGTCGTCAGGAAAAATTCGTTTGTTGCAGGTGCTACCCCGAGCTGCCGCCGACCAAAGGCTCCTTATTCTCGTCGTCGCTGCAAACGCCGTTTTCCACTACTTGCCGAAGGAAGAACAGTAATGGGTAGTTTTTGCGTGGTGAGCCTTTTGCTAAGCTTCGACAGCTTACTGTTC